AAAACAAATTCCTGTATATATTGTGCATATACACCAAGATCAAAAACAAACGCTGTATCATGGCTTGGTTGGTAGTTACAGTTATGTTTTGGTTCTTTAATTTCACCTGTGTGAATTCAATTCTCCTTTTCTTTGTTCCTCGATGAATATATACAGTGTACCATGACTTCTTTGATGTACATGTAATAAACAGATACAACCTGCATGACTCATTCTTTTAGACCTGTTATTTGAAAAGAAGAAAGTCGGAAATTATATCCTTCAGGATGATTGATTGCACCTTTCTATTCTAGATATCCATATAACAACATGTGGTTGCACAAAAAGATACCGTGAAAAACAAGAAGAAATTTTACATTAGCATTACAACTGTCATAAAAGATTGCTGGCATGTTAAGTGTAGGGAAGATATTACATAAATTTCTAGTTTACTACTTTTAGAACAATCAAGAGATTTATTTTAGTCAGTAGTGTGGTATATGTATACATGTAGATCAGATTGGAATGGATTACAGCTGCCACCCAATTCTATCAAGATGCATACCTTCACCATCAGATGGTTCAGACGTTAAACTAGTTTTAAAAAACCTGCAATCCTTAACCCAGATTACTTAGTCGTCAGTAGGTGGGGCAAATAAACCTGTTTAATAAACCTAATCTCTCTACCCAGCTCTCTACCCAGCTGTTTTATCTTGGCTTAAAACCCTAACTTCAGCTTTGGGCACATGCAGAAAGTTATCTTTCTAGAAAAAAGACGACATGTGCCCAGGCGTTATTAACCTTGCCGTTTTTAAACCAGTTTAAATACAAGTATGTTATACAGTTATAAGTATCTGAACGGGCCTATATGTTACAGTGTACAGTTATACGATTATGACGAAGTACATCAACATGTAGATAAAGACTATCAATTACCACTTAAAGCAGACAAATTACTGGTAAATTGGTTGAAGATGGTTTCACTGAGAGTTGATGATATTTTACTTATTTTCTGTCTGCTCGCTTCATCTTCACACATTTTTAAGTGAACGAAAATAGAGTAATTAGCACCCGTTGAGACTCCATACCATAATGTCAGTAATAATAGTTTGACAGCTACCATTATTATAAGATGTTATAACTCTCCAATCTGAGTGAGCGCAAATTTCAAATGAACATTTATTTGTCCGTGGAAGATCTGTCAGATATCACAATATGATAATCTTCAGGCTTATCAATATTAGTTTATATATACATATAAAAACAACTTGCCTTTAATTAATTTAACGGATTTGTTCAAACAATTAGTTAATGGTTTACTTAGCAGCTGGTACCTTAATTCTAATAATATGATGAATATGGGAGTATATGAAAGGGAACAATTATCTGAAAATTTTCCTGTAATCATATTAGTCTATCCAGGTGTAAAATGGTCAGGGCAAGTATTTTCTCAATGTGGGGTGTTGGATGACTTTAGATCATAAAATCTGTCATTGAGTCAACTGGCATTGTTTCGATTCCCATGGGTTTCTCCAGGTCCTCTGGTTTCTTAGCACTGTTATAGACCCCACACCCAATTGAATTATTAAAATAAAATTAAACATATGTTAGTCCCAAAATTACCTAGTTTGTGTCAATTGAAAGTTAAGCTCTCTCTCTCTCTCTTTCTCTCAGTGAGTCTTGTTACCACTTGTTAGTGTGTTTGTTTGTACCTAATTACATGATGTTGAAGTGTTTGTGGCACTAAAACTCAATTTACATGGGTGGATTGTTTTAAGACTTGACTGAGATTTAGTTAGCTTCAGTTGGGGAAATCATTGATTGTTGATGATGATGTACATTTTGCCCTTGGATTACTTTAGCTTCTTGCTTTAAAGATGGGTTTCGATTACACATAAAATATAGTACTGTACCTGAAGTTATATTTATCTGACACACTGTTACACAATGTTGTAACATATTTTCTATTACTTTGTAACAAACCTTTATCTAAATGTGAAAGTGAGTTTTCTCTGGTTCATGCGTTTTCCTCCAACTGCTAAAGACCAATACATGCAAGCAAATTATCGAAATAAATTCTGTACCATATGTTAGTCCCATAATGACCTTGTTTGTGTTGAGTGCATGTTAAACCATATTTCTAATTCTCCAAGCTTCTGTTAACAAAATGATATATTTATATCAAATATATTTTATAATTGGTGCCTGCATATAGATTTCAAATTAATTACTATCCAGTTTTACCGTAAATACATGTACACCCATGAGACTTATAATAGATCATTGTACATCTAGTCGTTTAAAGGGAAAGCGCTTAATAGAATTATGTTGTCTGACTAAGAGATCATCTAGATTTCATTGATGATAATCTAAAACATCTATTATCCATTTTCTTTACCTTTAAAAAAAAACCATCACTGATCACTCCCTCTTCCGTCGTTTCCTGCTATAACAAAAGACAGGTGGACGGGGTATACCTGTTGTGAAGGTCAATGCGGGTAGACCATGCTTGTTTTGGCAATCTTGTCCTTAAATATATAGCAACACTGATATTTATTGGCTTTGGCAAACTTTTATATTGTAACTTGATGGTAGAGAAAATTGACTTACCCCGGTATCTATTAGTTAAGTTGACACATTAATCAGTAGTACAAGTCAGATATGTGTATGTCATTTAATAATATAGCGGCTGTACATGTTTTAGAATTTAAAATCAATTTATGATTTTAGTGATATACATCAAAAACTTATTAACAAATATTTCATTACAGTGAATAGATAAGATAAAAATTATAATAAAAAGCAATATGATGCAAGATGATACAAGTTTCATGTTCCCCTCACTCTTTTATATTTAAATTCAATTAAATAATATTGATATTGGATGAAAAACTTATGGGTGTCTAAGGGGGGAGTGGTTGAGATGATGTGATCATGTCAAACCCTAATTTATTTTGAAGTTGAACAAGGCCCGAGTTGTTCTTATCGGGGATATAATGGTTGTGTTTGTATAATGTTTGCTAACCATGAAATATAATACCTTAGTCAGCAATATGAAAGGAAGTGGATCTTGACTAATCTATTGAATGGGAAATCGTTTTTAATACCCCAAGGTAACAAACACCAACAGAAGTTGAACAGCTTGGTGGGAAGTTTTTGTATAAATTTTTTATTAATATGATGAGAGATAATTCTTTATATATTTAATCAACTGTTAATATTGTAAGAACCTTGGTGTCTTATAAAAAATATTGTTCAAGTCGCAGATTATCATTTGAGGGATTTTGCATTTACAAAGATATAATAAACTAAAAATTTCACAAAATTTTGGTATCCTCTGTAGACGATATAAACAAGCGAGTAAACTTGTGTGTGTTGGTCCTTTTTCATGCGATTAGATCCATCCCTGGAGATTATTAACCTTTTTTAATATTTTGTTAAATTGTTGTCTGTTAAATAATCAATCAATGCCTAAAGCTTTGGTTAGAAAAATCAGATCTTGTCTGAAAAATGCAAATTACGATTAGCACTGAAACTAAAAAAAAATGTCCTACTTCTTCTTCTTAAACATGCATTATGCAAGAGCAAAATCTGCTTATTACAAGTCTTTCTTTAGGCCTGAAATATTATCTAAATTATCAATTAGACATTAATTAACTTATCCAGACCATAATTAACTCTCGATGTCAAGGCTAGCCTTCGATGTTGGCTGGATTAGATTCCTATATGCTGCTTAACGGCCATTGATAATTAAATCAAAACAGTGGATAATCGAGACTATGCTGTTTATATTAATGATTTTAATAATGATGACCGAGACTATGCGAAAATTTCACCCGCTTCATTCTCGGCTCATAGTGGATCAATTTGACTGAAATTTTCAGCAAATTACCTTTACACTATCTAGTTTTTAACTATTGTAGCGAGAACTGCCATCTCTTTATCTTATCTCCCATAATGTATCTTAACAGTACAGGCAATATATTTACTGGAAAAACTGAAATATTGATTTTGCAAGGAGGAACAGTGTTGGGTTGAAGTTTGAATATACTTTGAAACCAAGTGCAGTCAATCCCTTGATTTAAATATATGTCTGTTGGTTTTACTTATTCCTTGTCAAATGAAATAACATTTTGTCTACACCACTCCTATTTCAGATATTTATTTAAGATGTTAAATGATTATTCTTGATTTTTAATTTTTATTTTTATGTTTCAAACCTCTTTGAAATCAGTGAATAAATTTTGTATATAGGGGATTCAATCAAACTTCAATATTCAGCTGATAAGCGATTCTGTTCATTGTAATAAATTCAGGGAGTGTACAGGTAATTGAAGGAGACAGTTTTGAATAAGGTATACTGGTACAGGGCTTTGTTACCTTCAGTAGTTTGAAGGTAGAGTTGCGCCCTTTTCTTTAAGATTGATTTTAAAAGATATTCATGAGTAGGGATACAGTGACGCTATCGACGAACGGAAGTTTGAAAGTTAATACTATTATAGTATTTGTTCCTCAATTTGTTTAAACACAATTTATTATTATCTTCTCCATAGTTTTATGAGAGGTGGAACGTTGAGTAATTCAAACTTTGACAGGAACGATATGAGCCCATTTTGAAACGCAAGGCAGGATTTATGATTAATAAGGAGGTGAATTTGTTGGCGGGAAGATCATGTGTGTTTTTCTACCTGTACAGCATCGGAGATATTCAGATGTTTGTTCTGGAGACCTTATTTGAGGACCGTGAGATTTGGTGACCTCATTGTTTATAGTTGTTTTGTAATCCAATAGCGTACAGGAGTTGATGTAATTTTGGTGTAAAATATAGAAGGAAATCATAAAAGAATTAAGACAAAGAAATCAAATGGATACATATTCTCAATTTTTAACATTGTACCTGTAGAAACCTACCTGTGTATTTTAATCGGCCAGCAATATAATATACAGTAATAATATATATAAGCAGATAACTGTGTGAAGGAATATGTTATAAATCATAAAAGATTTAAGACAGAGAAATCAATTGGATGCATTAAGATTCTGAATTGTACCTGTACCTGTAGATTCCTACTTGTGTATTATATTCTGCTATATAAAATATGTGTGAAGAAATATGTTAGAAAACTGTAAAAAAATTGATTATTGTAAAAAAGTGGATAAAACACAGTTGACACCCTAACCCCAGTACAAAACAACACTTTGAAAATTGAACGTTATTATGACACATGTGACAGCTTTAAACTGTAGTTGACTAAAAACATGAAGGATTGGAGTTTTTCGGCCTCTTCTATTTAACTAGCGTACATATCTATTTCAATTTGGATGACTTCATTTTCCTGTTGACAAATACCTGTAAGAAAATGACATTTTTTGGGGGGGTGTAATTTAACTAGATTCAAAGGGAACACACCTACCGGTACTCTAGAAATTGTGTTAATAGTGACAGTATATAGTTTTTATTTGTTAATCAAGGATATTGTACATGTGGATTTTTACAAAACAAAATGGATATATTTTTATGGGATAATAATGTCTGTAGATAAAAAAAGGATTGTTGATCATATTGTAATAATTTCCGGTCGATGTGATCTGGGAACATTAAGTTATGAATACCTTGATTGTTGATATTGTAATATTGCCTTGTTGATATCCACTACAATGATGTGATCTGGAAATATTAATTTATGATTACATTAATGGTTGATATTATTGTAATAATTCCCTGTTGATATCAGCTATAATGATGTGATCTGGAAACATTAATTTATGGATACCTGGATTGAAAATTACTAAAATGTTGAAATGGACAAAACTAAACGATTCATCCATTACCATCAATTATTTACTGGTACAGTATTTTCTTTGTTCAAATCTTTTATTTTGTTTCAAGAAACTGCGGTATTGACTATTCTACTCTGTATTATCTGGCACAAAGTTCTAAATGTCAGGTATTAGTTCATGGATTGTCAGGTACAACTACATGTAGAATCATTATTTCCAGGTTTGGTTCTCTCTTCTAAAGCTTGACCTTCTTCTCCACCACCATGACACAGAAAGTTCATCAGGATTTTTTTTTCTGCATGGTTGCCCCGTATATTCGTTTGGATGGGGAAAAAAAATGAGATCCCGTGTACACATTGGTGTACACAAAAGATCACTTGACTGTTGGAATTCAATATAAGAGTAGGCTGCAATGCCGCTGTCCTTGCAAAATTTCCTTCAATGCACATTGTATGGCATATGCCCATTTTCATTAGCTGAGTTGGAGCAGAACAGTAGGACATTTAACCTCATTTCATTTCCTTGACACACGAGTTAATTGGATATTTTAACTTGTAGAATATTAATATGAATGTATGCTGCGTGTTTAAACTATCTAGATATTCTCATTAATACCTTCGTCATCGAGGATAAAGAAGTTCGTAGGAATAATGAACCATGGTCAGCCAAGATCAAAGGTGTGTAACATCCGTATTGGAAAGATCAGAATAAGAGCTGGTTTCCTGCAACGTGATGACAAGGGGAACTCTTGTCTTTATTATTTTCCCTTTGATGTCGGCACAAGTACCTGTTGAAGAGTTCCATCCAATATACTTGATTGGATTTCAGTCATTCTGTCCATATGTTTCATTCGTTCATTAATTGATCTGATTTCATAATAAGCCAATCAGACAGACCCTTTCATCTTCTTATAGACCGAGAGCATTAAAAGTTCAGAACCGTATTTAATTGATGAAAATCAATGAATTTAATTCTGGTAACTTGTGACAGTTAGGAACAAGTCATTTCCTAATTAGTTGTTTCTGTTTAATGATCTGACATTACCAGAAATATCATTGATTTTAATTCATTCATTCAGTCTTCATTCATTCAGTCATTGCATCATTCATTCATTGAATTTAATGCAGTGAATGGTGTGGATCCTGAAGAAATTAACCTGGGATCACTGGCAATGTGGAGGGTGCCACAACCCGGGCATCCTCTATCTCTAACAAAAAGAAATTTTCTCTAAATGACTAAATAGATGATGTTTCTTGATATCTGAACCTGTGAATGATGTGGATTATGAAGAAATTAACAAAGCAAAATGATACAAAAATTAATGACTTGTTCTGGCTTTTTTTTCTATCTTTGAAGACTGACTGCCTCCTAATTCATATGGGTAAATGGATAAGTAGACAAGAAGACAACTTGTGTGACGTGTAAATGACTATATACCTCTCGTTACTAATATCCGAGATGGTTATAAATATATAGGTCTTGTTTTTTCTCTAAACACATTTATTGAAAGCTGTAGTCAGAATGATTGTTCACTATTATTATTCTATCATGGACTAAACGTGTTAAAAAGATGTTTACCAGGGTGGAAAAAGAGATCAATTTTCTACCAGGTTGATTTGCTATCAAAACATTCAGGTCTTGATGGGTCAATTTTCTTCTAACTTGTTAAAATATATAGAAAAATGGGCCATATTGATAATACCGTAACTCATTGTACTAAAAAGTGCATTTAAGTATATTTTTTGATAAAATGACCATTCACGCTTTTCATTATCAAGAGTGAGATGGTGGTTTAATGTCCATTTGAAACAAACTATGTTATATTGGACTAACATATATGAAATGACCATTCACACTTTTTATTAGCAAGAAAGAGTTGGGGGGGGGGGGGGTTTAAGTCCATTTAAAACAAACTATGTCATTTTGGACTAAAATACATGATAACATACATGTATGGTACATTTTTCATTTCAATAACTTGCATGGATGATTGGCAGAAACTGGAAGATCCGGTGAAAACTCACAAAGTTGAGGAGGTGACCCTACTTCTTGTCACATACAAGCTTCGGATTTAAACAACACAACTTGACTCAATGACAGACCTTATATGATCTAAAGCGCACCCATTAGACCACTCGACCGCCCACATTCAGGACTTAAATGTATCAACCTTTTTCCTCTGTCAATTTTTTTGATACATTGAACATCAACTGAAGTAGTCCAGTGACATTCCAAAACCCATTCTGCTGACTATAAAGTAGATCTTCAGATAAAAACATGAAAACAATTTCACACAACCCCTTTTATATCCGAAATTATAGATTTATGTAATGAAGCATAACTAAAGGAAATACTGAAGAGCATTTAAAAACCATTTATTTACCTCCATTTCTATATTTCTATTTACATTGCTCTGTGGGATATTTAACTTTATTGACCGTAACATGTCTATTAAACATACAGAAAATTGTTATTTAGGTTTCTCTGCGGTTTATTTTTCTTGATATTTTGCTTTTAATACTATAATTGTGTCTATATTACCACATAAAAATAAAAATGACCAATTTATGAAGATAAAACTAATGTTATTTTCTTTTTTAACTTCAGGTTTTCTGGCATTTAGATGTATTTCGGAGAAGTTATCGCAGATTAAATGGTCACAATTGTATGGGAAATTCCTGTATATTTTGTGCTTTAAAGGTATTAAGATAAATTTGTTTGTTTATGATTATTTGGGTTGGTTGGTTCGTTCTTAGGGCTTAGTGATATACATCTACTTCCACCGAGGGCGATATTGCAGACAAATTATTGTGGTTATTAATTGGTTACAGGTTAATGTCAACAATCTGAATGGCTGCCGTCAAATATATTTAAATAGCCAATGAAAGACAGGAAAAGTTGACTGAATAACCAATAAAAAAACGTGACAGAATCATGATTTCTATCAATCAGGTCATGTTGTGCAAACTTTTAATATTTTACTGCTTGATATCGAACATTGTAAAGCTTTTATAAAAAGGTAGTAAATTTGTACTCTTAACATTTATCCATGATTTGGGACATCTCAATTTATCTGACAAATGATGATTATTTTTTTTTATGAATTATTGGGGACATCTTTAATTTATCTGACAAATGGCGATTTTTTTTATGAATTATTGAAATTGAATATTGGGCAACAAAATACCTTTTATTAATTCAAAATTGTCAGTACATTAAATTTGTGAAAGAAATACAATTCAAGTGCTCTCAGTTTTATAGAAAGTTTAAATTTCTATGCAAAACCCAGACTTGGAGCCTAAATAATTAAAATTCGTTGAGTGTGTAGACTGAAGTGTCACTGTGATCTGTATTTAAATGTGTTTTAAAGTCACATTGAACGAAGCCCTGCATCTCGTAAGAAATGCAGCTGTTGTTGAATACTGTATTGATGTTGTATATTGATTTAGTTCAGTTAGTCGTGGTTTGTTTGGTGCCGAGTTAATCAATAATTCAGGTGAAACGCTAACAAAGCTTCGAATTAACGTAAAACTGTCATCATACTTAATGAAGACTTTGTCAGCTTGACGTCTTTGTTCTAACTGTTAATATATCATCAATCACAAACAATAGATCTCAATCATTTCCATCTTAACTAAATACATATAGTCGGCAGAATTAAAAAAATAATTCTAGCTCAGTTTCAATTTTGAAGGAAGCAGTCATTGTCAGCAGAATTAAAAAAAAAATCCTAGTTCAGTTTTGATTTTGATCTAAACGTAGATAAAATAGCATTTTGTGAAAATATATGTTTGCTGAACTATAGCTTGAGAGCATTTACCAATTCTAGATCTGAAATTTTATAATCATAATCTAGTTCAGTTTTGATTTTTAAAAACATTCCAAGCAGTTTTAATTTTGAAGTGAACCTAGATATAATATCTTTTATGAAAATAATAAAACACTGAACTAAAACTTTAGTCCTTTTACCAATTTGAGATTTGAATTTTTGTTTTTGCAGATTATATTCACACAGTTTCAATACAGTGATAAATCCTCCCTCCATCCTGATGCCTTACGTAAAGCTTTGGCCGAGACCTTTGCTAATCAGCAAAGATTTCAACTGGGACACATGGATGATGCTGCAGAATGTTTTGTAAGTACATGTATCTAATGTTTATCTGTTACCTGGCATTTCAAAAGGTAACTTGATGCTTTTTCAACATAACAATAACCAACCTGATAACATTTTACCTTTACGCCCTAATTCATTACATGTTATAGGTATGTCATACCTGCACATGCACATATTAGTTCTTCATCAATCATAGGTGATAACATATAGATCTTAAAGGACTATCACACTCAAAAGCTGTAAAAAGAAAATAAGGGAAATAAAATGGGGTTTGGTTTCTACCTTTCTTCGTCAACTAGGAAGAAATAGACAAAATACTACATGGTCTTTGTACAGGGAACATGGCAAACATACCATGACAAAAAGCAAGCATACACTGCTTCACACATAAGACCCAACACTACTATTATAATAACTCATTAATTATGTGATAACATAAAACATTATGAAGTTAATCTGGGGTAGAAGACTGTATATTATTATATATACATGTATTAGATAAAGCAGTAAACCTGCTAACCATATAACAGATAAAACAAACAGTACTTACAATTTGAATTGTAATTTGTATCATATACAAGTTCTGAATTTATTCATCGGTTATTTACATTACTGTAAAAACAAAAAAATACAAACGAAATGATATGGGGTTTAATTTTGTACCTTTTTGCACCAACTGGGACCAAATGTACATAATAGTGTAAAATTGTCAACCAGATATTAGACAAACAGCCTACTCTACAATTTGAGTTGTAATTTATACCATATACATGTAAGAATAATGTATTTATTCATCAGTATTTATATTAAAAAAGGGCAAGTAGAACTGTGTTATTGATATTATATAAAATGGAAGCTTATCATGAATAATCATCATTCATTTTAGTTTAGTTTAGTTGTAATTTATATACATACAAAAATTCTGAATTTATCTTTAAAAAACCAACAATAGAAAATGCAAGCTTATCATTAGAATCATGAATAATTTATAATATCGTTCAGTTTAGTTTTTTAATAGCTCTGCAATCAATTCATAGAGTTCATCAAGTATTTGATTTCATATATAACTTACTACAAGTATAGAATACACATGTACCTTAGTAGCGATCAATATAAACGCTACGACGGTAACATGACAAGCAATATTGTAAATTATAGATTTTAATGCTGGCTCGTAACACCTGTTACATACTTTATAATAATTCATTGTTCCAATTTTACGATTCGCATATCATTACTACAAACGTACCTTATATGGTAATGAGCGTAACAGTTTGTAAATTGGTCTAATTTTCCTTATTTTTGAATATAGAACATTTTGTTATTATTAATATATAGAATTCATGTATAGTAATTCAATTCACGTTTGAATAGTAGATCAATTAATTTGGGTGGTTCAGAAAATTTTCTTCCTTTTAGTTACAAGATTCAATTGAATTTATTATTTATTTTGAATAACTCAGAAAAAAAAATTCCTTCACAATAGGAATTACCCCAAAATAATCTGGGGATTTTTTAGTCTTTATATTTTGGCTTTCCTCTTCAAATTGTGATAACCCAGCAAAATAAAACATGCCTATATTCTGTGTTCCTTTAAAATAAACATTGCCAAAAATTAAAAAGGGGATTGTTATGCTAATATTTATTTCCTTGCTTTTCCCCTTCATTTTGTGATTACCCAGCTAATATTAGTAATATAAAATAAAACAGGTCTGTCGTTCTATATATTTCGCTGGGTCGAAACTTGGTCTTAATTTCCCAAATGTTGTGTTAAGGTAATAGGACTGATATCTATCATTGTTGAATGCATTCAGCACATGTATTGTGTGTACATATATATATGTTTTATCTATGTACCATCTGAATCTAGACTACTATGATAGTATTTGCGCAGGTGTGCTGTGGACAGACTGTCTATCCTTAGATTGAGGTTATTGGATCTTGTATTTATTGTTTGTGTCTAGATCTTGTCTAATTATGTACAAATTTGTTTCTTTATACAATTCATTAAACAAACCTGAGTAATGTTATTTATTGAAGCACAGGCAGTACTGAATTAAGATTCATGGAAGCTCTGTCCCACTAAACAAAATTGTCCCTCTCCCCAGCCGTCCCTCCAAAAAATAGTTTATGTTTATACTGAAATTGAAATTGAAATTAATTAAAATACCTTTTGCTATCACAAATTAACCCTTATTGTACAAATGAGATACGGTTGAATGTCCTATTCTTCTGCGCTGACGGAATACATGAAGACGGCCACTATCTTAGAGTCTTACAGCTTAATTGCTTCTTTCGACACCTGATTTTAGTGACATGAATAAATTCAAAAAATAAATAGTTGATTGCTTCCTTTATTATAAAAAGAAGGATTTATAATATTTCATATTCATATTTCTATTATATTGTAAGGAAAAATAATATTGTGAAAAATATTAATGGGCTATGTTCTTTTTACATACCCCCCCCCCCCATCAATTCCTGTGTATTCGACAAATATATAAAATATTGATTGCATCTACTTGATTATTTTCCTGGAAACATTAAACCATGCAAATATTGTAAGTTTTATCAAATACATGTATGTACATAGCCTGGTTAAGTTTGTTTGTTAGTACTCTTGTGGTCTAAAACATCAAAGGCAATATATGAAGTATTGTATGCCAATATAAGCCATCCCGAGTTTCTAACTTCACTGTATATTGATAGAATGTTCCGCAAGTTCTCTTTGTTAGTACATGTTCATTAATTCATTGATACAACATGGCAACTAACAGCTTTTAGTACTTCAGATGGGATGAAAAACCTGAGGTCCCTTGACAGTTGAAATACAAAAGAGTGGGCTGTAGTGCCACTGTCCGGGTAAAATTTCCTCATAGCATGGTGTATGCACGTCTTCATTAGCCCAGGTGGATCAGAAAAGTAGGACGTTTAAACCCCATTTCATTGAAACAATGATGATAACGAGCACCTCAACCATGTATTTAATTCATTTTTCACTATCATTTTCCGTCTTCTTTTTTGTTCACAATATATATTAAGTACTTTTGATTATCATTATGCTTTTAAGAACTGGTTATGATTTGAACTTCAATCCATCGATTTTGGTGGCCTTGTTTATGTTGTGTGTAAAAGTGTTTGTTTACATGAATGTTTGTGTTGTGACATATCGACTGCTCATTAGACATGTTTTTCACTGTGGGGGTTTTCTGTTTTGAAACTAAACTGTTTGTTTTGGCAGCAATAAGAACATGATATTCTCTGTTTATTTTCTAAATTTAAAGTTGTCGTCCTGTTTTGGCAGACTCTTGGCAGCTATCTAATATATTTTGAAATACATTTGTTGAAATACTGGCTTGTTTTGAAGATAATCTGACAGACTAACAACATGGGTTTTATCTCAATCTGAAATAAAAAATATGTCATGTACATTAACCTTACAAATATAAGTACACCAAGATCTATATATAAAGAGAGTTTGGCCAACTGCGGCCATGGTTGCCATTTTGTAATGGATCAACATTAAAACAAAGCAAATAGGAAGTAATAAGTATCAGTAAATATGAACCAAACGATAGTTCTGTATAAGATATATTAGGTCAGAGGCCAGAACTGTTTAAGAACCTGTAATTTCATAGTACCAAGTTTAGATAAAATAAAAAAAGGACCATTGAAACAACAGTTGACCAGACTCTCTCTCTCTCTCTCTCTATATATATATATATATATATATGTACATGGCTTTGGGTAACCCTAGATATTTTTTGTGGCCCAATTTTAATCCAGAAGTCTGTTTAATCAATTAGGTACACTTCTCGTTACTACCTTCCTTTTATATTGATCATTGCCTCTCAATGACAATTGATATCGTTAGGCTATGGCCTAATTAGCGTATAGGTTAATCTTTAGCTGGCTTTTGGTAATTAAGTCTTTATGTTTAAGTAAGTTAATTGACTTATATAAGGTTTAGATGATGACACATATATCTTTTTACACAGTTACACAAATATTTTCCCTTAAGGCCAGACATTCTACTGTTATTAATCACACAAAGAAATTCATAACCTCCGATCTTAAAAAACAAATTTTTCGGCCACATTAGGTATTTACACACACATAAGTAATGACGAACCATGTTTATTTATTGCAGGAAAATATCCTACGAAGAATCCACTTCCATATTGCAGGAAGCTGTGAAGAAGATACCTGTAATGCCCCGCATTGTCTACCCCATCAGAAGTTTGCTATGCAAGTGGTAGATCAGGTTTGTTGTTATTGTTTATTTTAACGCCCCAACCTGTGTTACACCTTCACTACAGACGGTCTATTTCTACCTGTTGCCAAACAAAATCCAATACTCCTGTCTCTTCTCCACCCATACCAAACTCTACAAATAAACTTTACCATCTTTAATGTCCAATACGAACAGAATTTATGTATAACTAAATATTTAGGAGTCGATATATTAGAGACAGACAGAGAAATTGGGGGGTTAACAATTACTCAAGGCAGGTAATTTCAGAGCTAACACATGGTGGTACAATTTTGTTCCAATAATTCGCTTGTGTACAGAGGTCTTTAGTTGACGGAAGAAACCGAAAGACCAAGAGAAAACACACAAGGTTAGGCAGGCGACCCTATTCTTTGTCATGTACAAGCTTAGGATCTCAACTACACCTCTATAATAGACTACTTGTTACTTTTTAATGACTAGTTATAAATGTGTCAGTGCGTAATAAATTAGTTACAGACGATACTTTTGAATAAGTTTTACCAATAAATGTAGTATTAAAATCTTGAATTTTACACAAAGTCCAGATTACCAAATTAAGAATAATTTTACTGAATAATTGAATAGCATGAACAGGTGTTGATAATTAAAATAAAATTTAACAGGTGTAATTGTGTAAAATTGTTTTTGATAGACTAAAATCGATAGTGCAAGGTGCGCTGAACTTTATGACGAGTAATCTGGTAAAACTTTTTAAAATAAAGAAAAAATCATTTTTGTTATTAATTTATAAACAGGAACCTCGTCCAATGTTTGTGTGGAGTTAAAATATTCTATTTTGTCGTCATCTGCACATTAGAAGCTTCCACATTTTCGAAATACAATGTTTGAAAACTCCAGTTCATAAATTGATTAGTTACCAAAATAGTGTTGGAGTATTATTCAATTATATTGCAAGTACCAGGGTTTAAACTGTTAAATTTTCCAAATTATTATGCATTCAACAATTATGATGATTAAAAGCTGATCGATGATGACAAAATATCCTGGCTTGTACATATTTATTTCCGTTTAAATATCCTGTTATGAAGAAGCAGATCAGTGCAATACAAAAAATAAATCATGTGTATAAGATAATATGTCGTTCTTTACATATTAAAACCACTTTACTCGGCTGTCAATTTTTTTTAAAAATTAGTGTTTTCTCTTAATTCATGTAAAAAACAATATACAGCAATGTGCTCTTAAATCTTAAATCGAATATCCGATATCATTGTAGTTCAGCCATCTTTGTTTCTGTTCAGTGCTCAAACTGACAAGAATGATAATTTGACTAATTAAGCAAGTCAGGCATGAAAGTCTGTGGGAAGTTGAGAGGAAATTGATTGTTAGGATGTCAGGTGTGCTAATTAAATTGTCTCTAGTCTAATCAATGGGAAAAGATGGTCTCTTGTCTTCTGATGAGATAGTTAGGTACATGTACATCCATAACTGCACACTTCATTTAACCTCAAACCCATTTGCTATTATAATATTATGTTACAAATCTAAACTATCAATTATTAAAGTTTGAAAGCTAAAAAGCTAATAATTTCAGAACGGCTGTAAATATTTATGATATGAAATTGCTCTCTAGAGAAGTAATTTCAATCCTCATTGGTCACTAGAGAGTATATATAAGTAAGAATTTGGGTCCAAGATTATTTGGGTTAATTATGGTGTGGATGATTTATTAAATGTGTAAAATTATATTAATTAGCAAGTATGTTTATAATTAATGGTTTTCTCATGTGTCATGTATACCTGCGATAATGATGAAATATATCACAAACCACATGTAATTAAAATAAATATGTAAGAGGTCTTAATCAATTATAACATTCCCTCTCACAGATTCATAATAAATGACTAGGAAGAAATGAGTTGGAGTTTAATATCCTACTTTTCTGCACCGATTGGTCTAATTAAGACATGCATACATGACTAAGAATAGTAAGGGAGAGAGAGAGAGCAATGGGGCTTAACATCTACTCAATAAAAACTAGGTCATTTTGCGACTGACATATAATTCAATCATATTTCAATAATTAACTTGCACGTAAAGGTCTTTAGCTGTGGAAGGAAACCAGAGGACCTGGAGAAAACCCATGACAGACGACCCAACTCCTTGTCATATACAAGTGTGGGATCGAAACCATGCCATTGACTCAATGACAGACTTTATGATCTAAAATGCTTATGTTAAACAATTCAGCCACCCGTACATGTAGGAGGAAACAACGTGTTACATATTTATTTGCAATTAATATTTTTTAGCCACTATAGACATTTGTATTATTTATAATTGTGTAAAGTTCTATTTCCTTGTAATTAAGATTTACCTGTTCCTTTTAATTAAACTTTGTAAATAGGATATGCCTTTTATTATCAATCAGTTTTAATTAAATTGAACAAAACGTCTTTTTTTATATCAACAAAAAGGAAATGAATTGCAGTTAAATTTATATATTTTTGTTGTCTTGAACTTTCGACAAAGTGTTTATTCAATTACCTTGCATGTTTTTCGCAATTATATTGCACATGTATGTAATTAATTATTTATATATTTTGGAGCAAAGACATTGTGTGATCATATTTAACTTAATAAAAGTAATTTACAGACATGTAAGAATTTCAAGAAACTACACTGTATAACATAAGAAATTTAGCACATTTTATAAAATTCCAAAACCTCCCAGAAGAAATCAGTTTGTTTTTCTGTAATGCTGTCATTCCCGGTGTATGGTTACAATTTTAAGCAACATAGGAAATTAAACAAAAAGAAAAAGAGAAAAAATTTGTAGATACAGAAGGAATAATTTCAAAATGATGTGATGATGTGCCTTTCTAGGGTACCTTTCACTGTGTCAGGAGAGACTGGCAAGGAACAGTGTCTAGTCGTTTAATTAGTACGAAAAACAGATGGAATTCGATGAGGAGTTGTCAGAAATGCTGCATATATACCTTGTGTTGTGTTCTGTTATGAATAGAAATGCTGCAATCTTTGCAAAATTTCCCTCATAAGCACACTGCATGGCATGTCTTGATATTGTCTGCGATATCACTTCGGTGGAAGCGGACGTTAAATAAAGCTATTTCACACACACGTCTTGATTAGCCTGATTGGTGCAGAAAAGTAGGACGTTAAACTTCATTTTAGTAATATAGTATATGTTTAATAGTAAGTTGAGGTGGATTTTGATAGTAAGATCAGGTACAAAAATGTAGATACATGTACATGTATATATAGGCTAGTAAAGGTGAGGTACAGGTGTGAATGATAGATAGTATCTAGTTAACCTAGTGACATATCATACATCACTATCTAGACATGTTGACATATACCTACAACCTTACCTTATACACACTCTCCCTCGTTAAGACTCATTATTATACACATCCTTACCTTATACTCCTTAACTATTACACATTTATACTACAAAATGAGAGCTGTTCTCACCCATACACTTTAGGTCATAAGGTCTGCCATTGTATCAAGTGATATGTCTTCTATCATATGCCTGTACGTGAAAAGGAGAAGTGTCATCTGCCTTTGCTTGTGGATTTTGCCCACTGTGAGCAAAACCCCTACATGCAACCAAATTATTGGAATCAGGCTTAAATTTTAATTACCAGTTTAGTATTATAAGTTTCATAAACTTTGTAATATCAATACACAGTTCTGATAACCTCTTCTTAGTATTGGTACTTTGCACAGTATTTATGTCCAAGTATAAAGAAAAATGGGGTTTAACGTCCACTCGACACAAACTAGGTCAATTCGGGACTAACATATGGTTCAATTTTATTTCCATAATTCGCTTGCGTGTAGGGGTCTTCAGCAGTGGGAAGAAACCAAAGGACCTGGAGAAAACCCACAAGGTTGGACAGGCGACCCTACTCCTTGCCACGTACAACCGGGGGATCGAAACCACGCCAGTGCGCACGTGCTAACCATTCGGCCATCCAACCCTCCCCCGTCCAAGTATAAGTCATATTATGGAATGAGACATAAAAGAAGAAATATTATGGACACAAGACTATTTATTTAATGTTAGATTATGTTTTTTTATTTCAGTTATTAATAACACTATTTAATTGATCTATTGAGTTATCGATAAAATGTCATGTTAATTTTATTATTCCAGGTTGTGTGTTCATGTGGTGCCAGTTCTAACCCTTTAAAGTTCCATGAAATGGTTCATTATATTTCATCTAGTGCTCTTGTGTAAGTTTACAAAAAATTTCATTTCATCAGAGAAAAGAAATCAATATAATGTGCAAGTTTTGGGGCATAAAATACACTGCTTTTTTGTCTTTCACCTCAAAATTGATTCAGTTCATTAAAATAAATGCAAACCAAATTTGATTTTACTATGGAAACATTTTTTTAACATTGCAAAAGACTATAGTGATGAACTTGTTTTGTAGATAATTTTGTGATGCATAAATAATTTTGCTCTAAATTTTAGATCGCAGGCCAGATCTATGCAGGAAACTGGTGATATACTACATCCAGATAGATTTGGAATACTTTTACGCAATGCCAGTACTTTGGGAGATATTCGTGATTGTCCAGTAAGTTTATTTTATCTCTATTATATATTTGTGACTGTCACTTGTCTGCTAGAGATTGGCAGTTACACAAGGACTGCTCCAAGGCTGAAATTCTGGGCATCTTGAGTCTGGTGGAGTTGCACTAACACTTCCGGTTTCAGCGATATACAACTTCAGGTTTCACTAAACTCCAGTAAGGAAGTTTCAAAAGGCTCTACCCTTGCAACACCCGGAAAACAGGTAGTCGTCATAAAAACGTATGCTGGAAATAATTGATAGTCAATTTTATTCAGCCTATAAAGGGGGACTTCATTTCCCTTTCATGGTAAAATTGCTGTTAAGCCGGTTTTGAAATAATGATTTTATTTGTACCTGACAAAATATCAGGTGCTTATGAACTTATTCCTGATATTTTGAATTTTGTGCAGGGCATGTATTAAGATATATTAATAAATCATGCAGAAAAAAAAAAACACATCTGTGCCAGACAAAATGACAGGCACCATTGGGATTGTACCTGAAGAAGCCTGAATCTGTGCCTGACAATGTCTGTGATAGGTGCCTTATTTCCAGGCTTGCTTTTAACATTGAATAGAAATACCCAATAAAATTATACATTTGTATAATAAGGTTTATTGATTTTGTAGAAAGTTTTCTATTTAATATAATATTATTGATTCATGCTCCACTAACATACTTTTTTTTTTTTTTTTATTATGTTAGAGAAAATAGAAGATATAGATTAATAAATATACTCTATGTACTATTCCTTTGTATTCATAATAATGTATAGTTATTGTATTGACCCTGGAGACGTAATTAATAACATAATTAACTGTAGGGCATTATAACAAATGGAAATATTGGGCAAAACAAGGTTTATGCCAAAATAAAAGGGAATAGCCAAACATTCTCACTTAGGTCTGTAGGGTTCGCAATGGAAAGAAACTTTATGAGATAAATCTGGGACCTCCGTTTGAGTTTTTTATACCATCACTTAAATGGAAAACAATCATGTAATTTTTAATGCTATTGACAGATTCTCATATCCATTATTTCATAAACATATTGTTCAACTAGTGTTAAATATATACCATGCAAAATCAGCTGTCACTACGCCCACATTTGATTTTGATCAGTTAATATAAAATCCTAGAATATATCTGCTATTGATTCTATCATCAACAATATTATAACTTATTTCAGGGTAATTGTGGTAAAAAGGTTCCATTAAAAAGAACTCTATTAAACTGTCCTGATGTTGGTAAGAAAATAAAATAATTTATTTTGTTGAGTGAAACTAAATTCAGTATGGTATTTATATTAATCAATGCTGGCAGTCTTTTAACTGCATACAGTTAGATAATTCCTCTGTGGTCACTTAATGTCCTTAATGATAATTAACTAACATGTGGCAATAATGAAAATCACAATATGTTATCATATAAATTCTTGTTTGAAAAAAGAAAAGGAAAGAAAAACTGAATATCAGTGGATGGAAAAATTATTAAAATTATTTAATTTTTTTATTATAGTAAGTATAGGTTTAGTATGGGAATGCGACCATCCTACAGCTGAAATGACAACAGAAGTTGCCAGGAATATTGGCACCACCATTCTGTTACAAGATGTAAGTTCATTCTTCAGTTGTCTGTTATTTTTGTTAATTTCAAATCAAAGGCTGAAATGAGAGTAAATGAATCTGTATCCTTAAATGACATTTAGAAGTAGAAGTATAATAGCATAATTTTATAGATTTACTTCTTCTTGCTTTATTGGCTCACTAACATGGAGGCACCTTGTTCGATGGGTGTGCACGTTAAAGATTCGATATAAGAGTAGGCCATAGTGCCGCTGTCTGGGCAAAATTTCCCTCATAGCACACTGTATGGCGTATGCCCATCTTCATTAGCAGAACAGTAGGACGTCAAACGCTATTTCATTTCATTTCATCAAAGATGCCTGTAAGAGTATTGAAAAGTTGCATGTAATAAACTAATAAGTAGTAAATCTATCAAATTGTGTTATTGCGAATAAATAAATCTGTATTAAATCTATAACATAGTGTCCGTTACTCAAAACTCACACATCAAGTAAATACACAGTAATTAAACATGTTAGATTGTCATGAATGCTTTGACTTGTTTGATATAAATAATGAAAATCAATATTGCGCGTAGTTTCTAAACGATTGCAGTTTGCACAAATTAAGCTTTGATTACATAAACTGATTACCAGTTATAACTACTGCTTTATTTTAAAGAGGCATTATGTTAGAAATAAAATGATATGGGGGTTTAACGTCCTACTGGCTTATTCTATCTCAGATGGCTGATTTATTAAGTGAATTGGACAAGGTCTGCCTTATCCTTATTAAACATTAAAATGGAAAATCGAGAATTTGTTCATTGATGTATTTATGCTTCTTGACAATCAAGACTATCTGCACTATTTCTACTCAAAACTTCAAACATTTATAACTTCGCTCAGAAATTGACTGTAATTTTCAATGTATTCATTTTTCATTACCAGTATCTATTTTTGAACTATTATAACAAGAACGGCCAGCTCTGTATCTAATTCTACATAATGAATCTTTAATATTTGGATTTATAGCATTTATTAATGTTTTATGTAAACTATCTATTATAGGTATCTTTAATCGTGTAGCAATATTGTATTGTATTTATATTTGACTGGATGTTACATGATATCTTATTCCTATTTTAGCTTTTCATGAGCTATTTCTGTTTGATATTGTTGATACCATATAAAGAGAATTCCTTTGTTCTTAAATTTCAGGTTTTCCATACAGTCATGCAGGATGTAAAAGTTTTACCTAAATTGCATTTAGTGGGTGTGGTCTGTTACTATGGTAAACATTATTCAACTTTCCTCTTTAACAGCAAACAACAAGTGTGGATTTATTTTGATGATGCAACAGTTCGAGAGGTAAGTTGAATTTTTTTTCGTGTGCTTGTATCAGTGTATTTGTCGAGTAGGCCTACTATTACATCTATAAGGATATGTTTATCAGTTTGGTTGTATTTTAACATGGACCTTATAATAGATTTTACACAAATTAAATATATATATTCCGACCTGGAAACAACAATTTTAATGTTACCTGACAAAATATCAAGCACTAATTATGAACTAGTAGGCCTACCTGACATTTTATCTTTTTGTCAGACATGTTTTTATTAAATCAATAAAACACTGAAACAAGATAAATGTGTACCAGACAAAATGACAGGCAGCAGGGGGATTACACCTGACAATGCCTGAATTTGTGTCTGACAGTGTCTGTCAAAGGTGCCTATGTAGGGGTGGATTAAGCTTAGATGGGGCTCCTAACTGAAAATGTCACCGGGGCTGGAGCACTCAATCAAGCATGTGGAGCTATTCCGATGCAAGCCGAATGCAAACATTTAATGTCCCCCTTATTAAACTCTACCATAACATATAACATAATTTTTTATGGTACAAAGTCTTTTTAGAACTAATTTGGGGGTTACATCCCTATCAACGTTCTCCTTAATCCAGCCCTGCTTGTATTGAATTTAATCTAATGTATCTTGAATTCTCATCAAGGACTTGTTTATCTGTTTTTCTTTATCATCATCATTAATTCATGATCCACATTATATTTTTACTGTTAGTCTAACAGTGGATGAGTAATGTATGAATAATTATTTTGACCAGTTAAAAACTAGATACACTATATGTGTGACTGTTCGATTGGTTTAAAATATTTGTTGCAATCTTATATCATTTGTTGAATTTTGTCCTTGATTAATTATTGATGATTCGTGGAAACAGAGTAAATTGATCTATTGAGAAAGTGGATACACAACAATAATTTTATTTGTTAATGGTTCTAAGACGAGATGAATTATTAATTGTCTTGATATTTTCTATGTTAGATCGGACCAAGATGGGAGAATGTCGTAGAGAAATGTGCTAAAGGAAGATATCAACCTCTTCTGCTACTCTATGCTAATCCCAATGCTGTACCTGTTCCCATAGATACAGCCATGAAGAAGAAAGTTATGGCTCCAGGATTTACAGGAGGTAAGTTAAAAAAAACAATTGTTTTAGCTCAGGTTTATTAAGGATGAAATACCACCAGTTAAGTAAGGGTAAAGAATTATTCAAAGCAGAATAGATGGAAATACAACTGTTGAAAATAACTGTAGATAATCTCAGAATAACCAAAATAATGTATTAACAATAAGATACTTTTTCCAAAAGACATTTCCCCAGTATAGTAATTAGGTATTATTGATTTCTATCCCATTAGCATCCGCCCACCCCACCCTTCTACTGTAGTGCTGTTAGCCCCACAAACCTCAAATTCCCACCTGCCTATCATATTGCTGTTAGCAATAATTTAATGCTGGTTAGTCTGTTGTTTTGTATAAATTGATATCATGGACTTTTTAAAAAATTCATTACAACATGAAAATGAAATAATATATTTATTTTGCTTTAGTTCCACTGGTGGATGATAGTGATAGCGGCCATGACAGAACCCAAGAAAGTATCAAAAGTATGAATTCCTCAACCCCACGTAGATCAAGGACGCCAAATCCAGATGGTAACAACATGAGGCCTGATACAGACAGACGGTCTAGAACACCTGGTCCTGAATATCGACCAGATCCTAACAACGTGCCCAAACGTACTGATAGTGATCATCGCAGGCAGCCATCTTTTCTTATAGCCATGTCAGGAAAATCTGATCGTCCTAACCGAGTACCATTACGACCCGGAGGAAGTTCAACTTATGCTGAAAAGGACAATATTCCCGATTACGGTTATAATCCACATCCAAATAATAGACAACAGTATAACGCATACGGTAGGGAAGACGTAGATGATTATACCTTATCAACCAGAGATCAATACAGACGGCCGTCTTTAAATTCAATGTCTCCACAAAACACTCAGCATATATCACGATCAACAGCAGAGTCTCAGAGAAAGGAACCTTTCAAGAAAGGTAACACTAAAGTTAGAGCTGATGTGATTCGTTACGTACCGGGTGACTATAATGGTGGACATCCTGGGTATAATGGACAAGTGCCACGTCACATGGAGCCTACAAGTCTACCACCAGGAGATGGACCTCCACCTTATCAATCGCGGGCACTTTCAGTTCCTCCTAATCTAGATGACTCTATCAGTGTTCACTCAGACATAGTGAACCCAAATCAACATCGTGTTGTCAAGCCATCAACGGGTAATCACAATTATGAGAACATAAACACTTCTACCCATACACCAGTAGAAGTCGGCATAGCAACGCTTCCCAGAAAGAAGAAACAACAAAGTCCTAGTGAACCGAATACCATGACACGACAATCTTCTATGGGTAATCTCAGCAGTCAAGGATCTCACCCGCGTCAGTCTTCTAGAGATTTGGTCGATGGACCATCTGCTGCCAAAGTTGAGCCGAAACCGGTTAGAAAAACTGTTGCTCAGGTGAAACGAGCATCGGATAAAAAGAAACCTCCGCCTCCAAAGAGAAGTAATTCTTTGCCCCGTAACACGGAACCTCATCCAGAAGATTTTGTGGATGATAAAATCGTTTATATTGATCGTAAGATGGTGGCCAATATTTTAGATCAACAAAGACACTCAACACCTCATAGTAATGGCAGTGTCAATGGCACGGATGATACCTTGATGAGTAAATTGCTTAATTCAAAAGGTTTGAGTGTGGAGATTCCCTACGATAATGTTTCGTTGGGTTCACATAAAGATTCCGGTTATGGTAGCAGTGATCGCAACAGTTCTAGTTCAACTGGAAGTGTTACCATGGATCCGTATAATCAGTTCTTCTTGACAAGAGGTATGATTGTACCAACACCGACACCAGCCCCCAACAACTACAGTCAAGAAACATCTGGGTATAATAAAGGGGAGGTTACTCTTGTTAATGGTATGCCAAAATCAAACTCCACCAATTCAATGAAGCAGGATTTAACTAGTCAGTTTGAAAATTTGAAACTAAATAGAAATGGTGAAGTACCACCTCCAGTTCCTGTCAAAAGTAAGTTGGGGTTTTTTTTCTGTAATAGACACAAATGAATTATAGATGAAAAGTTAAAAATAAATTTTAAAAATCTGTAATAAACTGAAATGAATTATAGAATATGGGTTTTATTTTTGTAATATATACCGGTCAAATGAACGTTAAATATAAAGAATGTTTCTATAATAAACTCAAATGAATTATAGATTAAAAGTTAAAAGTAGTTTTAAATGGTATTAAGGAGGAAACGGTAAAGATATAAGTTTCTATTTGGTATTTTAGAGAGGAAACTATATGGATATGATCTTTAAGTAGCATTTCCCTTAAAGTTACATTTAGCGATTGAGAAACCCATGAACAGAACACAATTTTTATAGAAAAAAATCACTGTTTTTGTTATATAAGCACAGCATTTCGACAAGTGTCCTTTTATCGTTTTCAGCACAATATGGAGATATGTTTCTGTTTTGTCTGTAAATGGTGTATTATTTAATATGTTTATTTGTATTTTAGATTATAATGTGGAGGTAGAATGTCCCCAACCAATACCTGCTGGAAATGGATTAGACAAAGACGGTATGACTTTTAAAAATCTCCAAAAATAACATGTATTTTTAACTTGCACAAATAAAGAACCCATGATTGTAACACAGCATGGCTATGACCTTTAGCATATCAGATATATTCCCCATATTTCATTGTTTAATCCAGGGCTTGCACATCAAATATTTTGATATTTTTTCCAAAGAATATGACGATTTTTAGCATTATCCCATTTCTCTTTACATATTTTAAAGTGTGTCTACACATAAAAACTATAGATTTAAATTCTCTGAAATTCTGGTTTTATGGCATGCAAATTGACTGACAGGCAAATTCTCCAACCATTTAATACCTTTTGCCAGTCAGTTAAGACTGGTCAATACGAGTGAAACTAGAGCCTTGGTTTAATTAGATAACAAACATTGTAACAATATAATAATAATTAGCATGAGTATGATATATTGATATATACTATAATAGGTATGAAAAATGAACAGTTTAAGACGTTACTTGGATTTGCTGATGATTTAATGGATCAGTGTATGTTAGCTGAAACTAATAAAGATTATCCCTCGGCAGTACATTATTGTGATACTGCTATTGGTAAGTTTTTCACTGATTAGTATATAGAAGTGTAAATCTAAATTTGGTTAGACATTTTAAATGTAAGCAGGGCTGTAATAAAATATGTTTTCTCAGTTGGACATTTTAAAAGAAAGCTGGACAATAACTGTAATAAAATATGGTTTCTCATTTTGGCATTTTAAATATAAGATGGTCATTAACTGTCACAAATGGATGAAATAAGAGCTCTGATTTAACCAAAGCTTTATTTGATATTTTGCTTAAATTTTGTTAATGTTTTTTAAGCTCAGATTTAACCCTTCTAAGATTTCTTCAATATTATGCTTCAATTTTCTAAGTTTCGAATCTGACTTTCTTTTTATATTATAGGTTATTTAAAGAGTGCTATAAACTTAAAGAATATTACGCATCAAATGGTCGTTTTTGCCCAAAATCGACATAGTTCCTGTCTGATGAAATCTCGCAGCCTAAAAGTTCGCTTGTCCTCCAGATCTGACTCTAAACTTTCGCCGGTCAATGATTTACGTGGTTCTACTGATAATAGGTAAGTAAATAAACTATGAAATAAACCATGCTTAACTATGAAATAAATCATACTTAACTATGAAATATATCATACTTAACTATGAAATATATCCTATTCAACTATGAAATAAATCATACTCCACTATGAAATAAATCATACTCCACTATGAAAATAGATAATACTCAACTATAAAATATATCATACTCAACTATAAAATTTATCATACTATAAACTATAAAATAAATCATACTCTACTGTACGTTTTGTGACTGAATAAAATATCTCTATTATTCCATTTAAAAACAGTACAAACATATACTGTGTACCATTTTCTGATTTTTTTAATTTGTTTCCCCATCATTTCAGATCAAGTATAAACAGTACTGATTCTGACCTTTCGAGAGCATCTCAAGAGAGGACAAGACGAACAAATGGTTCTTCCGAGAGACTTGATAATCTGGATAAACCCGGACTACCAGTGTCTCATATGAACTCGTTACATGACAGACAGAGCAGTAATCAGAGCCTTCACAATACGCAGAATATGGGACCTGATCATTCAAGACTTCCAGACAATTCACGATCATTATGTCGAACTCTTTCAGATCATTCAAAAAATGCATCCAATCATTCTTATTCGGACAGTAATTCATCAGTGCGAACATGTGTTCCTTCAGGTCACGTGTCTCAAAGTTCACGCGATTCAACGTTGTCAAACAATAGTGATATGTATGGTTCTCTTCCACGACGGACGGCGCGAGGTCCTCCGCCGAAAGAAGAAGTGTATCAATCATATCTAAACAAACAAAAATCATTACATCAAGGTGTTGAACACGCACGATCATCGTCTGGGTCTAGTACGACTAACTCTATTGATGGTAGTATCCATTCAGATAATAGTGGTTCTGATCCGCAATTGCGATCTCATCTGCGAAGTCAACCAAGGATGAGTAAATCAGATATAAGACAGATGCTACAGAAGAATATAGCCCAAAGACAAGCACACGGTTCAACCAATAGCAGAAATACTCAACAAGGACAAACTGTAAATAGAATACAACAGAATGAGAGTCCTGTACCACAGACAATGGTGAAGTCAGCTGATGCCGCATACCGACAGCCTAATACGAGACAACCAGAGGTTGGCAGTTACCAACGATCAGTACCTAATACTGCATGTAGGACGTCTGGTCCACTGTCGTCGACTGGTGTTCCTACTACAAATGGCGGAAATAAACCACGTGTTATTAAGCCGTGTATAAAACAAAAACCCATAATGGTTGCCTCTCAATTTTCGAAAAGTAGCAACTGTTTGAATGTTTATGGCGGCAAAGCATTGGAACGCTGCACGTCTCAACCCGATTGCCAGAAACTTGTAGATTCTCCATTCTTTAATAATCCAGGTACCTACTAACACTGTTTATAGCACGTTTTTAAAACTTGTAGTAACATAGCAATCAATATAACAGCAGTATAAAAATATATGTTCTGGTCATCATTCAGGAAAAGATAACATAGTTTCCTAAAGTAAAGTTTTGATGAAGCTAATAAGTAACATTTTAACATTTCATATTTTTTTAAAATTTTTGAAATTCTGATTGCTGTTTTGCTATAAGTTGTATTTTGTGAATTTTTGCAAAAGTCCATTACATAAAACTCTAAAAAGTTAGCAAATTTTCTTTGTTCTGAAATAAGAATTTTATGCCTAAGCCTAATTTAGTCATGGACTTTTGTAAATGCCTTGATATGCGCCTGAATGGCCTAATAGCGCTAGTATAATGATGCATGTTGTTGCAGAAGGAATATATTTGATGAAAATGAAAGATTTATTTCATACGATTGTTTATGACTTTATTTATAATGAAAGTATTTCTAACATATCACTTTAACTAACTCTTGTTATTACTAACAGTAACCCTTTAACACCAAACTTGATCAATCTATGAAAAAAGTCTTCATATAATAGTAGGGATACTCGATTGAACGTTCCGGAATTAAATTCTATCAATCCCACAACTAGTAAAAAAGGGAATTTCGGGCTACCATAACCAATAACGGCAGCTGAAACATGTTTGTTGTGTTTAATTACTTCATGATTCTACTCATACTCACCTCAGATGACGGAACTTATTCTGTGTCAATTCTGCCAATTTGATAGTTCCAGACTGTCAATCGAGCATCCCCACTGTGTCTTGCTGCTAGCTTTTGGCCGTTTTAATGCTAACAAAATGTGGTTATTAAACTGAATGCAAATTGTCTGCCCTTGGGATAAACTTGAAATAATTTCAAGTTGATTAAAAATTATTATTCTTGGGATAAGATATACAAATTTTTTGCTAATTGAAAGTGTTTGTGCTTGCTTCTGCAGATTCACTATCAAACACTATGTCATTGAAACCAGATAAGGGTCTACGAGCATCTTCAGCAGTAAGTATAAGTATAGAGATTATTGTCATCTCGTACCTGCATGGATTATCATTTATTTTCGGCAAATCTTTATTAATTTAATTTTCTCATTTTTGGAACATTTATTTAACAATTTGTTTATATCTTATTTATTGCTTTGGCTTTGTTAATTGTTCTTTTATCTCTAATCTTTTCTACTTAACTTACTTGCTTTCTTATTTTTTCTGACTAACTTATTGCTGCGTCTTTAATAGGCATTTTAGTAATTAATTGGTAATGGCCCAACACATTTATATAGCTTTAGATTACCAAAACTGGTTTATTATACGATGGCTAGGGTAGGTAGGCGAATAGTTTAAAGCATGTGTTAAATCATAAGGTCTGTCATCAAGTCCAGTGGTGTGGTTTCAAGCCCCAGCTTGTTTATGGCATGGAATAAAATCGCCTGTCCAACCTCGTGGATTTTCTCTGTGTACTTCGGTTTCCTCCTACTGCTAAAGACCCCTTCACACAAGCGATTAATTGAAATAAAATTGAACTCTATTAGTAAGTGCAGGTTCTGAAATGACGTAAATTGTTTCTCTCTATATATACCAGCAGTGTTTTAATGATGGTTCTATCATTTTTATCAAGTAAGATAATAGACAAGAGTACGTTGCTAGTATTATAAACCAGTAATTATTATCTATATAAAGGTGTTGTGTTATGAATTTTTGTTGTGTTTAGACATTAATATATAACTGTATATATTAGATAATATAAATCCCACTAACAAACCAACAGACATTTATATTAATAGTTATCTTAACATGTTTCTGGCATCAAAGGTTGGTATTTAAAACAAAATTTAAGGGTTAAAGAATGATTTTTAACAATTTGTTATCCTTTGTAGATTTTATACACTGCTTACTTACAATCTTTTGTTTTGGGGCCTTATTCATAGAAACTGAAACTAAAATATTTTAAGAATGCAGCCTTTTCATTGGATGAGGGTTAAAATTCTAGAACATAATTTATGTCCTAGCCAATGAAAAGTCTGCAATTCTTCAAATATTTTAGTTAAAGTTTTTGTGAATAAGGTTTCTGTATTTTGTTTCCTAAATATTTGTAGAAGGAAATCAGTACTTATATTCATTCATTTATTTGCATAAAGATTTTTTTTTTTTTTTTTCTGCTCAATTTGCTTAGTTAATGCTTCTAATCAAGTAACACCTCATTACAAAGCATAGATTTATTACTCTGTTTTAGAAAAGTAATACTTCATGGAATTTGTAAAGTGCACTCAGCAAGGCTTGCCACAAAATTTGTTTAATTTCACACATTGTCTTCTTTTTGTTGTTGAATACATTAGCAGATCCATGTGGCTAAAGTGACTGCACAGGGTTTGTGCGATATGCTCATATCTTCTGATTTCTGAAACATATTTTCATGTTCTTTTTCTTTTAATTTCAGAGCCAGCCAGATCTTAGAAACTTAACGGATGAAAGATTTAACAGCAATATCGTCCCACATGATAATTTAGATTCGTCGGGAGAAGATGCAGAAGCCATGAGACTTAATGTTCGAGCTTTGGCTTCTCGCTTCGAAACTTCTAAATCACCGACAAATCAAGTAGTTATTGTGCCGAAAGATATTGAAAAGCCTACAGTGGGACATCGTGTACGTAGTAAATCAGAATCGTCGTCTGTTAAAAAACCTAAATCTGTGCTAACAAAAACAAAAAATAAGAGTTCTCGTCCTCGGAAATCTGTGACCTTTTCTGAAAATCTGGCCTTGGTGGCGGGAGAAACAGGTGGATATCAGTCTTCATCAGAAATAAACTCATCCCGTTTTATGGACGATCCGGCTTATTACAGTGATGACGAAGATCGTCGACCACGTTCACACTTTAATAACGATGAAGACATTGACAGTAATAATAGTGATGAATCGCCACCGATTGGAACGGGTGCAGGATTTTGTGAATTGTGTCAAAAACAGGGAATAGAAATAGACGAAAACTATTGTTCTAAGTGTCGTTTTTATATGCATCGATTCATGCCCTCCAGTTGAGAGTGCCTTCATCAGTCCAAACTTTCTTAATTTCAACTTTTCGTCCATTTGACATATTACAAAGTGTTTGTTCATTATGAATTAAATTTTTAATCTTAAAGTAGAAAGATAAATATTTGTATCTCTTATTCTTTTAATTGTTGAAAGATATAATATAGAATATTATATTATTTATTGTGAATTTTACACTAGTTAAAATAGAGCACGTTAATAGAAAGCTATGTAAATATCCATAATGAATTGTACAGGATTGGAAGTTGGAATTTCATCGTATATATTTATCATTATAAGAATTTATGTTAAATGTTTGATAAATGTATTAATGTTCCTCCACTGCCATCAAATGGTCATTACACAATAAACATGATTTTGTCTAATTGTAATTGTATAAACCTATTGTATGTTGTACACCAAAGATGTAAATTATAAGTTGTACAACATTATTCTATATATTTGTTATCATTTTCATATCAAAGAAATTGTATAGTTTATTGAAATTTTGTGTATTTATGATAAAGATGTTTTTTGTATATTATGTATATTTTGTAATGTGGTATGACATTGTAGATCATATATTTTGTATTTCATCATTTATTATGATCTAGTCTTAGAATGTTGTTGACTAATATGTCCCAAAACTATCCATATTGGAGTAAACTAAATTATTTTTTATTAGTGTTGGCAAAAAATCATATATACTTTAAAAAGAAGATATGCTCCCTCCCTCCTATTGAATGGTTGTGACCTTTAAGGCAGCATTTTTTAATAGGGCACATCGCAAGAGTAGTTGAACCTTGTATTTAAATCTACTGCCAATATCAAAATTATCATTAAATATCATTTATATTGAAACACATATCTGGCTCCAAAATCAGTTGTGTATTTATCAAGGAAAGCATTCCTTATTTAGAGCATAATAGCTTGGTGATAGATAAATAATGGTCATTTAGAACAAATGTCTCTAGCAATTATTTCTACTTTCTTTTTATCATAGAAATGAACATACAAACAAGAGAGAGAGAAATGGGGTTTATTGTCCACTCAATACAAACTAGGTCATTTTGTGACTAACATGGTGGTTTTTAGCAGCGGGAGGAAATAGAAGAACCTGGATAGAACTCAAAGGCTAGACAGGCAACCCTACTTCTTGTCACTTACAAGCTGGGAATCAAAACCATGCCAGTTGACGAAATGACAGACCTTATGATCTAAAGTAGATACATTGGACCTCTCGACCCCCCCCCCCCAATCCCTACACAGAATAGATTTTAAAAATCAAATCTCATTATCACAATACTTCATGCAATATAATTAATATAAATATAATTGATATTATATAACTTTCATAATTTATAAGTATTGAATGTTGTATGGTTTTAATCTGATTTGGTTTAACATTCTATAAAAACTACCTGACATAATTCTTCATTCCACTAGAATCATTCCATTATTGTGTTGTATCATATCACCAACCCTTCAATAAACCAATCATATTATAGTATGGTTACATGCCTTTAGAATAAAATTGTTGCTTCTTTGAAATAAAATAAATAATTAAAAATATTCATTGACTTTATTCATTAAAACTTAAACTTTGAGAGAGAGGAGGAAGAGACTTTGTCTTTAACAGTTTAACAGTGGGGGGGGGGGGGGTAAGTGAAGGACTTGAGTAAACCCACAAGTCAGTAAAAGCTGGGAATCAAAACCATGCCACTTAACTCAATGACCGACCTTATTATCTAAAGCGCACATCATTCAGCCACCCAACCCCTTATGCTGTGGATTTTAATAACTTATCCCCTTGTCAGTAGAGCAGGCTGGAGATCCGGAAAAGGAATATCTTCTAGTCATTTGGACGGGACAAGAAAACAAGGTCCCTTGTACGACTTTGCCGCATTCGTAAAAGAAACCCTGACAGGTGGTATTCGAAATAGGAATGTATAGTCGATGTCTGAGCAAAGATTCCCTCATGGCATATGCTCATCCTCAGTAGCACGAATGTCCCCCCCCCCCCCACACACCCCATTATTAAATTAAAAAGCAGTCTGAATCTTCTCTGGACCTTCTGGTGATAGCTGAAGGTGTAGTTAGAGTGCCTTGGATTTCTGACTAGGCCTATCCATATTACAGTTTATACAGAAGAAATTACATGCATGGGTTGTCAAGTTGTCCACTTTATACTATGACTACTATGAGTGTACTTTTCGTTTTGACGTGACGAACGTTTTAGTTGGGAGCGGTGAAGACTAAAGGGGGATAACTCTGTCCAGGTCTCCCATTTCAAAAGATTTAATAAAAAGTTGACATGTGAATTAATTCTATAGCAGTTTGTTATGGTGGCTGAAAGCGTCCATTTAGATCGGCGTGTTTCTAGATCGGCGACTTTTTCGTCGTATTACCTTACCTTATCGGCGACCCACGACTTTCACAACACGAGAGTCGCCGTTAAGCCTCGGAAGTTTATAGTTAGTTACATGCGCAATGGCTACATTTTACTTCTTGTATATAAAATGGAGGAGCTTTTGGATGAGTTAGGACTTGTAGGCTAGCCTACTTTCTGCCACAGATGGAGCAACATGTGGCAAACTCTTGAACAAAAGCATGTATGAGGTTTACCATGAAAAACTTGAAAAACACAAGCTGGAAGTAGGGACAAGTAAACATGCAATTTTCGGCCCTACATTTCAACCTAACCGCGACCTCTCAAAATCATGAATATTCACCAAAACCTGGCAGAAAATGTATTATCAAACCCCTTTCTTCGATTACCGTCGTATTACCTTACCTTATCGGCGACCCGCGACTTTCACAACACGAGAGTCGCCGAAAAAGTCGCCGAAAAAATCGGCGCCTTTTTCGGCGACTTGCTTAACGGCGACTCTCGTGTTGTGAAAGTCGCGGGTCGCCGATAAGGTATTACGACGAAAAAGTCGCCGATCGGCGCCTTTTTCGTCGTGCTGGCTTAACGGCGACTCTCGCGTGGTATCTAGAAACCCGCCGATCTAAATGGACGCTTTCAGCCACCATAGAGTTTAGCTAAAAAAAATCCACTCAACCATGCAGAGACTAAAGGGGCGTAACCAACCGATCGGTAAAAGGAAACAGACCACCAATAATTTCCCAATTTTTAATTCTGTTCTCTTTTCCCAACTCCTAATCTTCCCCAAATTTCCGTTATGTTGAACGTTTTTCACTACAAAAAGAGCAACAACTGGCCATGTCTTTGCTCCAAAAAGTCCGTTTGAGGTTGACCAATGAAATTTTGAGATAGACAAACTTGAAGCAGCATACTATAAACGTATCACCGTAACCAACCTCCTCTGTTATTCTTCGGCCTCTAAACCATGCATATTTACCAAATCCTGGCAGAATTTTCTTATTAGAATATATAATATGCACTTAAAAATATAGGTTTTTTTTCGTTGTAATAATGTACGTGTATAGTCAGATTATCAAAAGAAACCTTTTTTTAAATAATTTTTTCGAACAGTTAGCGGAACTCTGCAATAATAACACAATATACTGAAACCTTTTCAATTGTAGCAAATTTACATTAGTGGCCTGAGAAGCAGCCTGCGTGTATTGTAAGCTCGGAGGCCCCAAAAGAAGTGAATGTTTCTAGCGTAGTTTTTCTTACTTTTTTTAAAAAAAAAAACCCCAACAGAAACTGAATTGGAGAACAGCCTCACCATAGAAGTAGTTAGGATGTGTGTGTGTGTGTGTGTGTGGTGGTGGTGATGGGGCCGGGCTTTTTTAGTCTTGAATTATATGCCTCCGGCCCATAATCCGTCGCAGCTAATTTATTAATCATCTGTCGATTGTATTTTTCAAGCGTCTGTGGGTCTAATAAATAAAGTATTAACTAGTAATTGGGATAGGATGAAAATCCGGGTTTCCTCCGTAGACACATAGACTTCCTGTAAAAGAACGCTTGAACGTCGTCAGAAGCAAGAAAAGGTATTATGACGTCATCATTGTCTTACCTTATTATGGTATATCTATTGTCTTCACTAGTTCCTAGGAGATTTTCTACTAGCAACAACATCTTGCAGAGTTATACAGCAATTCCAGTTACTTTTAGAACTGTTTAATAACTTTTTGTTTGATCATATATCATAAATATGGCAGACATTCCACTAGAGGGTAAGTACCGTCAATAACCCATATTTTATTGTAGAAATTCAACTGTTATTCCGTTTTATTTATTAGTTTTATTGATTTTTCGGTTTGGAAATTATTAAATTTAGGTCCTCCTCAGAAGCCACCTAGATTAGAGGAGCGTGTATTAGAAGATTGCCGCAAAGACGCGGGAGATGGACCACAAACTCCACCTCCAAAGCCACCTATAGGTTATTTCTATACAGCGAAACAGATTTTAATGGTGACAACTGTACCGTGGATGACCATGATGTGACCAGAACAGAATATACCACAGATATGTATCCCCAAGAATTGAACCCATTTGCTGGTGATAGCGACGACATTACTTACTGTTACAGTCAGCCAGAAGTAATAAACTTTTATTTTTATTCAATTAAATATAAATCGACAACATTAATTAAATTCCATGAGTCAATTGGATGACCCCTTAATAAGGATGACCGCGTTGGTCTGTCCCCTCCTCCCTGTACGTCACTGCGGGTTATTTCTAATATGGAAAGTAGATGTACATGTTTATAAACGTAATCTACAATAACTGATGTGTTATTTCTTTTATGTTTTTATTTACAGATAATTTTGAAAATCAATCATTTACCAGAAAAATTCGGATTATATTTAGAGAATTAAAAGATGTATTAGTTCAATCCATTCCGATCTTGTTGTGGGTTGAGGAAGAAATAAGAAGTAAAAAGAACAACGTTACAATGAGATGATCTATTTTATATTTTTGAATATCTAAATTCTAAATATTACAAATTTATCGGGTTGTACACGGCATACAATATTTATATTTTGTGTGTATAAAATAATATAATTTAAATACGAATTCTAAATATTACAAATTTAAAGGGAATTACTCCGCATACAATATTTATATTTTGTGTGTATAACTAAATATAATGTAAATCTAAATATGTATTCTAAATATAAATATGTATTCTAAATATAAATATGTATTCTAAATATTACAAATTTAACGGGAATTACTCCGCATGAAATATTTATATTTTGTGTGTACAACTAAATATAATATAAATCTAAATATTTATTCTACATATAAATATGTATTCTAAATATTAAAAATTTAATGGGTTTTATTCGACATACAATACTTTACTCGGCATACAGTATTTATTTATTTTTGTGTGTGTATAAAATATATAATGTAATTATAAAATGATTAAATACTATTTTTCTTTAAATTATCAGCGTCAGTTCAATTTTTTTTTTAAAGTATCAGAAACACTTGGACATGTGGGGAGGGGGCGGGTGGGGCGTCTGGCAAGGGTGTCTTCGACAGGGCGTGAGGAAATGCACTTAGGGAAAGAATTAACTGTCACCGGTAAGACATAGTCACCAAAAAAGACAAACCGGTCTCAACTACCGAAGAAATTAAAACGTTTAGGCTAACAAGAGAACAATTCGGGATTGACAAATTGAAAACAACAGCACCCTTACGTTTGGATATTCATATGGCTAGCGCAATAGCCCCTTTTGTAGTTCCATTTAGCGCAACAGCAGCAAGTGCATCCAAAATCATCAGAAAACACTATACTGATCTGTAAGAAAATCACCAGAAAATCTTCACAAACCTGAACGACATCCTATTCCTAGTGCACAGTAAAATAGACTAAATAACACCAGTCCTCACCCTAACCCAAAGCAAAGAATATATCAAACCCTAGCCCTAACCCTTAGTAAATAAAATCAACTAGTTATAAGAATCCCTAGCCCTAACGCCCCCCCCCCCCCCCAAAAAAAAGAATTAGCCCCCCCCCCCCCAATATTTTGCCAACAATAATGATTTCTTAGGAGCGTTCTTAGCCGGCCACACCCTCCGCCTCCAAAACATTCCGTAGCCCCACCAAATTTTATGAGTTGGCTACGGGCCCGAGCCCTAACCCCGGAATAGTGGAAAAAGTAATATTTATCTAAAGGCGAAATAGCGTTTACGGTGATTGACAGAAGGGAGCTAACTCTCATGCATCCGAGGACACTTCGTTACAATCTGTTTCACAGAGAATTACGAGTCTAGTAATATCTCTGTCAAAGATGACTGCCCTAACACGTGCCGTCACAGCACGCGGCGTCAATCACTGGCTGAATGGCGCGTGCATTGCTTACATAAGACGTTACTGCTTCGGAGAGAATGCTGCCTTTTAGTCATTTTAAAACCCATTAACACTAAAATTATAGGAAATAATTTTACCTACAAATACGTCAAACGCCTTTATTTATTTTTCCAATACATAAAAAAATGTTTTAGAATTTAATTTGTAGCAGGAAAAAAGTTAATATTTCTGGCTCATTAAGTCGCATCGATGTCATCCTTATCAGTGATTGTAGAGGCCTAGCGAAAATTCACTGCTGATCAGTGTGACTTCGTTAGTGACACTCGGCAAACCTCAACAGATTCCAGTACCCTACATCTAATCTGGGCTGTATGACCAAGTCCGCCATTAGAACTACTTTCAAGTTCCCGGATTACAATGGCGTTGTCCATGACGACTAATGACGTCATTGATGACGGCGTATTTGAAGAATGTTTTATCATACAAAATTTTCAAAGTTTGAAGCTGTTTTTCTTTCAAGTTTATCCGATTTTCTTTGCACTGAAAATTCTACACACTCTTCGAACGACGCAATTTTGAGAACTTCTTTCTAAACGCGGGCAAGTTTCCCTTATAAGTAAACCGGTGCCGCATCGCAAATGTATAGGCGTAGATGCATATTACTTACTGTCATACAGCCGAGGCTAGATGTAGGGTCCCGAGGTTTGCCGAGTGCGTTAGTGAACACTCAATAGGGGTCACGTGATTTTTCGCAATTTCTTAGTGTGCCGTTCAAAATTATTTCGCGGCACACTTAAGAAGAGCTCTCGGCACAATGGTTGAGAATCACTGATATAAGGGAACCACCGTGGATCAGTGAGTAGGAGAGGGCGAGGATAAATGGGGTTTAACGTCCACTCGACACAAACTAGGCCATTTCGGGACTAACATATGGTTCAATTGTATTTCAATAATTCGCTTGCGCGTAGGGGTCTTTAGCAGTGGGAAGAACCAGAGAAAACCCATGAGGTTGGACGGGCGAAAGATACATTACGGGAGATTAGGTAGTTCTCACAATAATAGTTAAAAACTAGATCATGTAAAGTGAATTTGCTGAAACTTTCAGTCAATTTGATCCACTCTGAACAGAGAATTTAGCGATTGAATTTTCGATCATTATCACTAAAGTCGGAACGATAAAAACACAGCCTCGATTATCCATTTCATGATTAAATCATGAATGGGATCATAATCCAGTAAATATCGCAGGCCAGCGATGACATCGAGAGTTCATTGTAGTATGGATAAGTTAATGAATGTCTAATTTATAATTTAGATAACATTTCAGGCCTAAAGAAAGACGTGCAATAGACAGATTTAGCTCTTGCATAATGTATGTTTAAACGACGAGGCTTTTTAATATATTAATGTATTACCTATTTCTGCAGCATAACATGATGTCCAATCTAATGAAACGTGTTTATAAATTTGAAACCAATAGGATTGTTACAAATTCCCACAGCCCCTCTCGTCCCCCAAGATAAACATCCACCAGAAGGCGCAAAAAATATCTACAGTGCTAGAAATCTATTTGTGGATCTAGATTTATTTATTCTTAAACATTACAGACATTCTTGGCTTATCCAGATGTCGAGAACTGGCGAAAATAGGTTTAGTGGCCAAAGATGTAAAGTACCTATTAGATGCAGATTACTATTCTCGTGGCGACGAGAACGTAGCTAAAAACGTCGAGATACACTGATGTGTTGGTTTTTGGCTACGATTGAGTGCTTTTATAGTTTCACCTGGCAAAATTAATTTCTTTATTAAACATACATTATGCAAGAGATAAATCTGTCAATTGCAGGTCTTTCTTTAGGCCTAAAATGTTATCTAAATTATTAATTAGACAGTAATTAACTTATCCAGACCATAATCAACTCTAGATGTCATCGCTAGCCCGTGATATTTACTGGATTAGAATCCTGTCTGCTGCTTCTGATTAAATCAAAAAATGGATAATCGAGACTATGTTTATTATCGTACCGAATTTAGTAATGATGATCGAAGCTATGCCCAAAACTCAATCGCTAAATACTCGGTTCAGGGTGGATCAATTTGACTGAAATTTTCAGCAAATTCCCTTTACATTATTTTTTTTTCATTTATTATAACGAGAACTGTCAGCTCTTTATCTAATCTCCTGGGTTTTTTCTGCTTAATTGTAGTTGGATGTGGCAGAAATAATCATTGTTTTGAAGAAAAAATTGTCAATTTTGCTTATTTGAAGCCTGATGTGATTAGCGTTGGAGTTTGCCAGTTGAAACAAACTATATAGCAGCATCTCTTATCTCGAAACATTAGGGTTGAGACTTGAGAGATGATCTCTTATCTCGAAAGACGGAGTGTTGAGAGATGAGGTTTCTTATTTATATGCTATTCTACTATACGGAAGTAGCTGAATACCTGAAACTTTCATTGGCCTGGATTTATTGATAAAGTTTTAAGTCCGTTACATAGTTCCGGGAATGGTGAAGCTGCACAGGGCACCTACATTTCCATCAAAATTATTATATCAACTTGTAAATGCAAAGTAATTATGTGAACGTAAACTCAAAAAAGCGCTTGGCATATTTGGAAATTGGTGATAGAATAATGCTGAAAGATCGAAATCCGAAAAGTGTTTTATATTATGTGAAAATTATTGATCGATCGTAGGCCTATGTGGTTGATATCTCGGAAGAAATACTTCGGAGAGAGAGAGAGAGAGAGAGAGAGAAATGGGGTTTAACGTCCACTCGACACAAAGTAGGTCATTTCGGGACTAACATATGGTTTAATTTTATTTCAATATTTCGCTTGCGCATGGGGGTCTTTAGCAGTGCGAGGAAACCGGAGGACCCAGAGAAAACCCACGAGGTTGGACAGGCGACCCTACTCCTTGTCTCGTACAACCGGGGATTCGAAACCACGCCAGTCGACTCAATGACAGACTTTATGATACAGCGCGCGCACGCTAACCATTCAGCCATCCAACCTCCCGAAATACTTCGGTGCAATTGATTAAATAAAATAAAATGCCTAGTGTGAAAAGTAATGTGCTAAAATCTAGAGAGAAATAAAAAGTGCATACAATGAAAATTCAAATTCTCATAACAAAGAAGCGAGAAATTTGAAACGTGAAATGTAATGAAATGGGGTTTAACGTCCTACTTTTCTGCAACGATTGGGCTAATGAAGACGTGATAAAATTACACCACTACCTCGTTTTAAGGATGTCTTACCGTGTATAAAACTGTTTGATTTGATGATATAATTAGACTAAACTTATTCAAACTAATTTATCTATCAAAAGTTTAGTTCAAGTCCCTCTCAAAACATGTTGATTCCAGTGGTATTAAACGTACATTATGCAAGAGCTAAATCTGCCCATTTTTAGGCCTGAAATGTTATCTAAATTATTAATTATACATTAATTAACGTATCCAGACCATAATCAACTCTCGATGTCATCGCTAGCCTGTGATATTTACTGGATTAGGATCCGATTTGCTGCTCAACTTTCATAAGTGGATAAGTGGATAATCGAGACTATGTTTAATGATGATCGAGACTAGGCCGAAAATTCAATCGCTAAATTCTCGGTTCAGAGTGGATTAATTTGACTGATATTTTCAGCAAATTCCCTTTACATTATCTAGTTTTCAACTATTATAGTGAGAACTGTCGGCTCTTTATATAATCTCCCATAATGTTTCTTTAAATCATTAATAGTATTACAGTACCCAAATATTTAGAGGTTTACAGTAATTCCTGGGAGTATATCACGTGACTTCTAATAGTTCTGGATGACCTGATAATTATTTTAACATTTACGAAGTTATTGCTTCCTATACCAAGAGCTATACAAACAACCGTGACCATTGCTAATTACTCAATATTAAACTGATTTATTTATGATCCAACATTTACATTGGTGTCGCTGTATGAACCACTGTGGGTAGTCTACTGATCGATACTAATCTGTGATTGCTGTAAAATCTTTGTTCACAATGGATTATCAATGTAAGTATTTTTTAAAACATATTCCATATTTATTCATACCAGATGTTAAGCTAAATCCAAAAGACTTGCATTATTGACCTCCGCATGCCCATCTGTGACTCTGCAATGAGGTAGAATGTCCAACTTAGTATATACGTGTTTTAATTGGCGAATGCCTGCAGTGCAGGGATTTCTCTTATAGAAGCTAAATGTTGAGACCAAAGAATTAGAATATTAACGTTATAGTAGGCCTATTCTAATTCTACGATTAGATGATATACTTTTTGATTAACTAAACGTTTGCAAAATGTTTTCAAGACAATTCTATTTGAATAATTTGCCATTTGGCACTTTCGTGTAACATTGTAGCCCCACAATGGGAATCTGAATCACTCCTTTCGACCAGGAATTCCAACTTGTTAAAATCAATGGTCGACACTAGTGCAGCATATAACTTCATAGTTACTCTAGCAACGGATTCTTATCGGGCCCCGTCCTTTATCCGTTACTGACTGATCCTATACCCAAATAATATGAATATAAGGCTTTTCTACGGTGGCTTGTTAGTGCCATACACTGATTTATACCTTTTTCTTAAAATTTACTTCATATGAGAAATCGTAGTGAAAACTGTGATAAATAAAAAAGAACCATGAAAAACCTTTCCACCGCGGTGTAAATATTTTCTCCGCGGTGTAAATATTTTCTTCTTTGTTCATTTCTTGCCACATCCGACACAAATTTATAATAACCCAACACTATTTTCATGTAGAATTTAAGATCCAAAAATACAAACAAAATTCGTTTGAATTGATCCGGCATTATGAAAATCACGCCTGCGTTCATCCAATATTCCAGATTTTTGTTCCAGCGTGGTTTCCCCTTGTCAGTGTTGCAGGGCGGAGGGCCTGACAAGGACAGCTGTCTAGTCCTTCGGATGAGACGAAAAACCGAGGTCCCGTGTATATATTGGAATGCACGTAAATGATCCCCTGGCAGTTGAAATTCAACTGCAAAATTTCCCTCATAGCACACTGTATGGCGTATGCCCGTCTTCATTTGCCCAGTTAGGAGCAGAACAGTAGGACGTTAAACCCCATTTCATTTCATTCCATTTCCAGATTTTTGAATGGAATGTTATCGTAAACGAACATTCTTAGTGTACTTAATTATGTCTTAATCGATTTTATGCAATAATTGTTTATGTGTGCTGTATACATAAACTTTAGTGGTATCAATATTGACCGTTTTGTCCGTTTATTGACAATCTGATTAAAACATAGATCCTATTTCGTTTCCTTTTTCTATAGTTCAAAATTTCGTTGTATTTGTCTGTACTACACTAGGGTCTGGAAGAGTTGCTATATAAGTTGCGTTCTGGATGGCGTGAGGGGTTAGCCAATGAAACCATTTGTTACGGTGACTTCTTGACGGCCGATGCACGGAACTGTGGGTACACCACTAGAAACGTCAACGCTGATTGATTAATCAATGCCTGACGTCATAGGGTCAAAAATCGTTCGTACGACCCCCGACACGACCTTTTACTACAATCGGTCAAATTTTCATGTAGTGTTGGCCTTCGAAAGTATAAAAAAAAACGAAATGAAATATAGATCTGTATTTTGATCAGATTGGTTAATTGAAGTACGGCAAGAATTTTCGTTTACGGTAACATTCCATTCCTAAATTTGGAATATTGGCTAAGTCCAGCTATGAACCCTTAACATCCGTCTGCGCACTTATCTATATATATAGATCAGTGGGTCTGCGCAGGCGTGAGTTTCATAATGCGGGATCAATTCAAACGAATCTTGTTTGTGGTTTTGGATCGCTAAATTCTACATGAAAATAGTGCTGGATTATAATTTTATCAGATGTGGCAAGAAATGATTCCTTTTGGCGAACAAAGAAGAATCACGGTGAAAAATAAACGGTAAGGATTCCAAAATAGCCTTAGAACCGAGATGAGGGAAAAGCCTTATTTCCATATTAGTGACGTCAGCGCATGGCGGCCGTGACAAAATGGAAACGGACGAAAGTAATGTAAATATTGGAAACAAGTGGCTATGATATCGTTTTGTGGGAGTATTTATGCAAATGAAAACGACTAGATTGAAGAAAAAACATATCTGAGTGAATCGACAGAGGTTTGATTGCCCGACATTACGAATTGTTGAAAAAAAACGAGCCGAAGCAAAAGCAGGTAAAATCGAGTCTTCAACAGGCATTGCATTCCTGTTCTTTTTTATTATATATTGTCTGGTTGGACATGGTGTATGCATGTATATATACGGATAGAAGGTCAGACTCCTGTGATAGGATCAGTCAGTAACAGATAATAGAGGCCAAAAGCCGATAAGAATCTAATTACTTCATAATATCAGGGAATATTTCAAATGTGGATATTCTTTTGAAATTAGCAATTCAAAAATCCAAGATAGTGGCCATTGTCAAGATGGTCGACCCTTGGTCAACCAAATATCATTTTAGACCATATAATCAAACCAGATTGTCCTTTTTTTTATCCTTAACATATATTTTAAGTTTCATCTTAATCGGACAACAATTGTTGGCTCTAGAGGGTCCACAAACTTTGTACAATTCACACTTTGCTTATAACTCATCTGAAATCAGAGGAGGGGCTATAACACATCCGCAATCGTTTGGAAATAAACGGCCGAAAATGACGGCCATTTTCAAAATTCAAACGGCTAACGTAGTGATGTAGGCACTGAAACGAAAGTCTATTTTTAACGCATTTTGACCGTTATAGGCTTTTACATGGAATCTGGTCCAGAACTCTATTCAGTGGTTGACGTCATACATCTCCACATATATTTTATCTGTTTGTCTTTTCAGTAAACGACTATATGAATTCAACAATCTTGGACTACGATGCACCCGAAAATGAAAATGAGAAGAACATTCCTCTTTTAATCCTGCAAATCATTATGGCAGTTCTGATTACAATTTTTAACGGCCTAGTCATTTTAGCCATTTCGTTAAATCCCGAACTTCGCAACAAATCAAAATATTTCTTAATTTTGATTTTATCCATTTGTGATTTTCTGCTTGGACTGGTTTTGTTGCCGATTTCTGCTCATTTGGTTTATTTCGTAGGAGCCATGTCAAACTACTGCAATGTCACTCTCTTGTTGGTAACACAAGTTGGATTCATGTACGAAATTTCAATTAGCATCCTTCTAGTTGGTGCTATTTGTATTGACTGGATAACAAAGATGACAGTATCTAATTATCAAGAGAAGACACGTTACCAACTGGCTGTATTTATGGCTTTATATATCTGTATTGAAACTGTCCTAATTCTGGGTGCCGTAATGTTTCCAAATATTGAAACATCTTTGTATCCCTGCTTTTTGACTTTCAAAAGCCCATATGACATCATAATTTTTTGTTTATCTGAAATACCGCATATATTATTCCTTTTAATAACTACTTTATTGTTGATTGTAACCTTTTTCAATACAAGAACGTCCGCTATTTCAGATGTTCCGTCTGACATCATTTTTGCTTCAATAATAACCATTATTTGTGAGGTACCAGCCATTCTCATTTATTTACTACAATATTTTGATGTTGTACGTTATATACCGGCATTGTATCAGACTTCAATTTTTTGCTCTTATGCAAGACGCTTCATTTTGCCAGTATTATGGTTGGTTAACACATATAGCCGTAAAGAAATGATTAAAAGTTTGACTAAAATAATCAGATGTAAAAATTCTGTTAACATGAATATTGAAATGTCTGAAAACATAACACATGAAACCAAATAAGACGCTAGACGCTGATCATTATTACAGATAGTTCAATTAGTCAAACATAATCTATGCGACTATATATAGAACACATTTCTGATAAAAGACAATATTACACCTTTCATTATTTTATAAACAGTCTCCGATAAAGGGGTGTGAATACTTTATTTATACCCCTACTCCCTATAATGGCCTGCTTGTTTAAAGATACATTATGGGAGATTAGATAAAGAATTGACTGTTCTCTTTATAATAGTTAAAAAAAAATAGATAACTTAAATAGAAGGTATTTAAAATTTCAGTCAAATTAGGACAATAAAATGTCATTTTATGGAATAGTTATAGAGTTTGTTTCGAGTTTGGGCCTAACAATAAGCCATTTCGATTTTGTATTTCATTTGGAGATAAAATTACTCATAATAAAATTTTCAGATGTAGTGGAGAGGTCTGGCTGTGCGGGCCGTAGTTTGCCCACCATTGGATTATGGGGTAATAACCTAATAATAACTTTAACATTTACGTGTACTTCCATGTAAATACCATCAAAACCCCGAAAGGTCAAATCAGTAATACTGGAAATTAACATTCTCACGTACTACAAGAGGTATGGAGTCATTATCACACACGGGTAACATGTATTATCTCGACAACATAAAAGACAACTTTGTTATAAATACAAGTCTAAGATAATTCAACTTTTAGAAATTTATGATGTTTTGATAAGTAATCTCGATAAGGAAATACATTAGACTTATATTTTGTCATGTATCAAAAGCGTTTGGCATATAGATTTTTTGACTTAATTAGAAACTTAGAAACTTAGAACCATATGGAATTAATAAAATATTATGCATGTAAATGGACTGAACACCAATTAAGTAATAGACAACAATGCATATAGGAGGTTTTAAATCAAATTATTTACATGCCGGTACTTATTCTGGAGTCTCGAGTGGTCGTTAAACCTCATCTCTCATTTAATATTTTACTAATAACATACGACTTTTCGCCGATGATACATCACTTTTTTACCATTATTCATAATAATTCGCTAAGTAGAAAAAGTCCGTGCATTACCATGCTTTTATATAGAATGAATAAAAACAAGAGAATGTACGGACTATTTCTATTTTTCTCGTTTTCCCTTATCTAGCGACATTCAATTACTTTTTTGAATTATCAGATATCCTTACACAGCCTCACATAACATTTGATCTTCGAAGGAATTATTAGTGAGCAGAAATTCGCCCGTGTATCTGTTATCACTCGTCAATTTCAGTCAGTTATATAGAAGGATAACTCGTGTTTTCCTTTTATATCGACACTTACCTTTCTTGCTTAGAGATGAAATAACATATGTTATTCACGACAAAACGACAAATGTTCTATTTATTTTATGATTTTACAATCATAGCCAGTGGAATAACACATTTTATTTCACTGATAAAACGTGGTATTCCACTACTGATCATAAAATAAAATGTTTTATTTCATTCTATAATGCACTGAATTCTGGTATTTTAGGGGATAAACGGTGTAATGACCAGGAATTTACAGATAATTTCTGTTTGCAAATGCAACGATAAGTAACCGTATATACATATATAATCATTTATAATAATTATCGTGTTATAGTATTCATTTCAATTCATTAACCATCATATTTTGTAAACTTTGGTATATTACATGTCATGTATAACTAATTTTCATTATTTATAAGATCTATAAATTAATGTATTGTCAATGGATAATTCAATGAAATTTTTATGCTCAGGAAACAAAAATTACCAGGATTTTTATTTCTGTAATTGAAAATGGAATTTATGTTAATTGAAGGAATTTCTGTAAATTACAGGAAAAACTAATACGGATAAAATTTTCCTGGTAATTTTTGTTTCCGGAATTTTTTACGTTTTTTCACTGATTTTGTTTGTACAGTGTACACCACCTTAATCAAAATGTTTTAGTAGATCTAGGGTTATATGGCAACCCCGATCTTACAGCAGATAGAAATTCTAATATATTCGAAATAGTGCCAAAATACATATAAAAAATATAGAAAGATATTCTTACATTTTATACAATGCAATAGTTTTTCTGTTTTTTTCTTATACTTAGAAGGATACCCGGCTTCGCCCCGGGCCTAAATTTGCACAGTGCCCAAATTCCCCAGGGGCTTAATATGCCCCGGGCCCAAATTGGTTCGAGGTCCAAATTCGCACTGGGACCAGTTCGCCCAGGGCCCAAATTCACCCAGGTCCAATTCTTACATTTTATACAATGCAATAGTTTTTCTGTTTTTTTCTTATACTTAGAAGGATACCCGGCTTCGCCCCGGGCCTAAATTTGCACAGTGCCCAAATTCCCCAGGGGCTTAATATGCCCCGGGCCCAAATTGGTTCGAGGTCCAAATTCGCACTGGGACCAGTTCGCCCAGGGCCCAAATTCACCCAGGTCCAATTTGCCCTGGATTTTAATTTAATATAGATATAACATCAAAATGTAATATATAAAAATTATCCTAACATATTATGCATGTAGCTCACTGTTCACCGTTGCTTATTGTAAATATATCTTTATTTATCTATTTCATATTTTTGGAGAGAACTTGTATAAGCTCTTGCATGTTGTTCAATCCAATTCAGTTTAAGGAATAAAATATTGTTTAACCTATTATACCAAATGGTTTCGAACAAAATGGTCAATTATTTATATTTCTTTGTCTGCTGTTCCCAAACTTCTGTTAACATGTTGAACTAGAATGATCACGCACATTATTTGCATCTATGTCCAACCAGCATAATCGTCCATGTGTCAGAACGTACGTTTCGCACGTTGGGCGTATCTATGTCTAACCAGCATAATCGTCCATGTGTCACAACGTACGTTTTGCACGTTGGGCGTAGACTGTCCGCTGTTCGTCGTTTTATGTACATCTCAACTTTCACCAGAGTATCGTGTGTGTACAGTACAGCTGCAGTGCAGGTAGCGTTTGTCAGTCACATCGGACTTCTTCTCTGACGCTCTGGTCGGAGGAACTGTGATCAGACGCGAGATGAGGGGCATCGGCGTCATGAATTTGGCTAATGGAGTCGATATCTCGAGTCCAGACAGGAGTGCGTGAAGTTGATGATCCATGGAGAGGCAAGACCTATTTTGACGTTCTTACATACAAGGGCGTGCATTGGGATAAACATTCTGTGCTTTGAAAATCTGGAATACGTGCTTCAGAAAACTAATGTTTATCCTTGAATAGTATATCTGAGTGTGTAGTGACTTGTGAATCTCAGAAGACTGAATGAAGAAATTGAAATAATTTACTATCATCAATCATTATAATAATATATGATCAACATTAGTATCAGTTGTTTCAGTCACTTTCTGCTTCTTAGGTTTCATGTGTTGAGATGGAGTTTTTTTTAACGCCCACTCGACACAAGCTAGATCATTTCTGGACTAACATATGGGTCAATTTTTATTTCAATAATTCGCTTGCGCGTAAGGGTCTTTAGCAGTGCGACCCTACTCCTTGTCACGTACAAGCGGGGAATCGAAACCACGACACTTGGCGTAATGACATACCGTATGATTCAAGCGTTAAACCACTAGACCACCCGACCCCAATCTTCAATAGAGGGTTTGATCTCACTTTAACTTCGCTTAATACCCTGCATATTTCGGTACTAATTTTGATTGGGTATTCACAAAGCTTTAGAGTCTATCAGATTCATCGTGAATTCCAAGATCTGCGCTTTCCAGCTAAAATGTCTACCTGTGATAATCGAGTCGCAATGTTTAAGGGTTGTTCAATGTCAAGATTTCCGTGGAGGTCGCTATATTTTTTTGAGGGTGTTAGTGTCACAACTTCTGATTGGACGCTACTGTTCACGTGTCTGCAGTAAAAGGGGAAAATGTAACTATAAGTTCGAGAATTGCCCAACCTCCTACAACGGAGAAACGCGTGGTTTCAAATATATATCTGTCAGTTATTTTTAAATAGGAACGGGGGGGGGGGGGGGGGCAGTCTTTGCTGACGATACAGTTTTGACTTGGTTGTCTGCGTCTTATTCCCCGCTTTCACATGGCAGTTGTCACGGATCGTCGCGAATAAAATTCGTGGTGATTGGGCAAAACAATCGCGTGGAATCAGGAATTGCTGCGAAGGAGTTATGAATAGTTTACAATACAATAATTCGTGGGTAATCGGGTGTAAACTGAATGTCAAAATAGGGTTACGATACAGTTTAATTTTCTGTTCATGACCGTTGTTAATTTTCCAATTATAGAATGTCATGGCCGTAGTTAATTGCTCTATTACATTGTTCACAATAGATTAGGAATGTAAGCAGATTTATTTAAAAACAAATTCCATACAGCTTGTGCGGACACGTCACACGAAAAACATTGTCGGCAACAAGGAGTAATCTAAGACCCCAGGTTTTTTGATGCATAATTTTATTCAAATACGATCGAACTACAGCTTTATATAAAGATTGAATAATAATTAATCAGAGTTTAAAAAACCCCAAATATATTTGAGATATTAACAGTGACGATATGAATTATAAGGTATTTTTGAAACCATACAAATCTACAAATAACTAAATACGAATTTCGTGAAAATCGGACCAAACTACCGGACAAAATGTCCACCCCTCGTACGCAAATAATGTAAACATCTGGTATATCAAGGTTGTGGACCCTCTAGAGGTTACGATTTTGATCCGATTTTGACGAATCTTGAATTACGTGTTTATAACACAAAGATCTTGGTTCCTTTGGATAATCGCGCATATCCGAACGAACTTCCTGATTGTTCGAAAAATCACATTTTTTGCTTGTTGATTCTCTAGAGGCGGCATTTTTTTTTTATCCGATTTTAAAAACCGTTTCAATATATGACCATTCCACCCCCATAAGGATGGTTAATTCGATTTTCGGCAAAATCGAAATGAAACTACCTGACAAAATGTCCGCTCTGTATACGCAAATTGTGTAAAAGTATGTAATACGAAGTTTGTGAACCCTCTAGAGGTTACAATTTTTATCCGATTTTGATGAAACTTAAAATACTTCTTTATTTCCCAAAGATTTCAGCCCCGTTTAATATTTGCGCATTTCAGGCCATAACTTTCTGCATTATGGCCCCTGATTGTTCGAAAATCGCTTTTGTTTTTAGCTTGTTCTTAATCCATCTCTTGCAAAATTTCTGGCAACCGCTGGTTATGTAGTCTGGAGAAAACAGGTTAGGGAAGTATTCAATATTTTCCCCAAGAACCCACAATAGTTTATTGAATAGAATGTCACGATAAAAGTTCTTGGAAGGAAAATGATAAGAGAATAGGAAATGCTATACGAGAATACATAGATTTAAAAGATTGTACACCATCTGAATACATAATCTTAAATAAAATAATTAATCAACTCTGTATTAATTGAGAACTTGCATTGATATGTATTATTTTTCATATTTATTGTACTTAGTGTAAGAATAAAATTTATTATAACACATACTGAAACCTTTTCCATTGTAGCAAATTTACAGGAATGGGCTGATAAGGAGTATGCGTGTAAAGTAGTGAATGTTCTCGTGTAGTTAAGGGATGGGGGCTTATGTGCATAAGCTAGAAACATATCAGTCATTTTTCTAAAAACAAAATGTCTTGCGCTCGGGGGAGGGGATTTCACCCCGGACCACCTTAGAGTGGGAGCACCTCACGGGACCTGACACAGAGGCGTCCGGCCCAAAGTCTGTCCCAGTTGATTTATCTGTCGACTGTATGTTTCAAGCGTCTGTAGGACTAATAAATAAAGTATACTAGTAATTGGGATAGGATGAAAATCCGATGTTCGTCCATAGACACATCAACTATCTGTAAAAGAACGCTTGAACATCAGAAGCAAGTAATGGTATTGTGACGTCACCATTATTGTCTTGCCTTATTATGGTATATCTATTGTCTTTACTAGTTCCTAGGAGATTTTCTACTAGAGTAGCAACAACATTTTGCAGAGCTCTACATCAATTCTGGATACTTTTAGAACTTTTTAATAACTTTTTGTTCGACCATATATCATGAATATGCCAGATATTCCACTAGAGGGTAAGTACCGTCATTTACCAATATTTATCGTTGAAAATCAACTGTTGTTCCGTTTTATTTATTAGATTTATAATTTTTCGGTTAATCAAATTGCTAAATCTGTTAAACTAAAATTGGAAATTATTATTTTTAGGGCCTCTTCAAAAGTCACCTAGATTAGAGGAGCGTGTATTAGAAGATTGCCGTAAAGATGCAGGAGATGCACCTCAAACTCCACCTCCAAAGCTACCTAGATTAGAGGTGCTTGCCTTAGAGGATTGCCGCAAAGAAGCAAGAGATGGACCACACACTTCACCTCTAAAGCCACCTAGGTTATTCCTATACAGCGAAACAGATTTTAATGATGATACCTGTTCCGTGGCTGACCATGATGTGACAACAGAATATACCACAGATACGTATCCCCAAGAATTGAACCCATTTGCTGGTGATGGCGACGACATTACTTACTGTTACAGTCAGTCAGACATAAGAACCAGCCCACGTCTATTCAAAAAGACAACCACAGAAACATACCCAGAACACCTCAACCCGTTTTTTGATGATGAAGACGTAGATATTGAAGTTGACGCTTGCTCGGTTTCCTCCTATGATCCAGGTATGGATTATTTTCAGTCAATCATTGAGGGGGTCACCAGGAACAACGTCTCCATTGTAATCGCCTAAGACACAAGTATAGGGATTAGTACTGATAAATATCGTGGGGGTGGGGGGCGCAGAAATGAGGCTCAACGTCCACTCAACACATACCATGGCATTTCGGGACTAACATATGGTTCAATTTTATTTGAATAAATCGGTAGCGCGCAGGAGCCTTTAGCAGTGTGGGAAAACCCCTAGGGTTGGACAGATGACCCTACTATTTGTCACGTACAAGCGGAGAATCGAAACCACGACACTTGGCTCAAATGACAGGCCACTAGACCACCTGACCCCAATCTTCAATAGAAGGTTTGATCTCGATTTAACTCCGTACATCTTATATTTTGATTGGGTATTCACAAACCTTAAGAGCCTATCAGATTAATCGATCATCGCGAATTTCAAGTCTCGCACTTTCGAGGTAAAATGTCTACCTGTGATAATCGAGTTTCAAAGTTCAAACCATGCCACTTGACTCAATGACAGACTCTATGATCAATGGAGTACGCGTTACCCCCCCCCCCCCCCATTGATAAATATGAGAAAAGAAAGAAAACATTTTAAGAATTTAAAAATCAGATGAAATAAACTTTTATTCAATTAAATATAAATATCCCGCATTAATTAAGTTCGGTGAGCCAATTGGATGAATGTGGTCGTTTGCCCCCTCCTCCCTGTGTGTCACTGAGGGGATATTTCTTATATGGAGAGTTTATTGAGCAAGTCTTATATTAAAGATGTATTATTTTTATAAACGTAATCTACAATAACTAATGTGTTATTTCTTTTATGTTTTTATTTTCAGATCATTTTGAAAATCAATCATTTACCAGAAAAATTCGGATTATATTTAAAGAATTAAAAGATGTATTAGTTCAGCCATTCCGATCTTGTTGTGGGTTGAGGAAGAAATAAGAAGTAAAAAGAACA